CCGTACAAGAGCCTTGAAGAGGCTCAAGGAGTTCATTTCAAAAAAATAAAAAATAAAAGCCGTTTAATAGGTACGTTGGTACATGTACATGGTTAGTTCTTCGGAGATGTGTGTTGGAGCCAGGTGTCAGGTTTTGTTACTAAGTACAAAAAAAACCACACACCATGGCAGCACAAAGCAGTAAGGCAGCGATGAGACCAGGGAGTCGACTCCCTGGATGAGACATATGGAATGGCAGGAGCAGGGGAGAGGCAGGGGCAGCTTGACCGACCATAGGGTCTCGGCTTCATTGCAACCCAAGCGCTCCACAAAAACAAAAGATTACAGAAAATACGCGGGGGGGGGGTAGATACATGAAACTGGGGATTTCGGGGAAAAGTCACATGATGCACAATATCAGAGAGTCAAAGAAGTGAATGGAGGAGGGAACAGAGTTAGAGCTTTTTGGTTGTCGAATGTCTTGGTACTCTCAGTTTTGTGCCTAGTTGTTGCACTTTCTGATTGTAACTGTTAAATTTCCCTTTATTTTTTACATTTATTATTGGCTGAACATCCGAGTATCAACATATCAACTTGATCGCTGGCTGGAAAGAGAGAGGATTCAGGCAGAGAATAGTAAAGGTCCAGGAGGACCCGGACGCACTCTCGAGGAACTATCCAACTTTTCTGCCATGGTTCAGCAGCTACTTTCTCTGGAATTACCACACTCGCCGTTACACTCAAAGTCATATTAATGTTTGCGTTGGCGGTTATGAAAAAGAAACACAATTTTCATTCACAGTGTGTTGCAACTGCACTCACATTAGCAGAAGCAGAGAGGTAAAAGTTGAAATGCAGTTCCCTTTTCTTTAGGAAAGGTACCGTGCTAGTAGTCAGTTTGATCAACGAGTTAAGTAAGTTTGCTGCAATACCCAAGGAGACGAAGAGAAAAGGAGTCGAAAAATTCTCGCCACCACGTGAAGATCATTCTGGGAGGAAGATTACTTCTATCGATTCAGATTTAAGTAAATTGTGGGAAAGACAGCAAAAGACAAAAAAATACAGATTGACGATAACCACTTGAGTGACGATAATCACCGATGAAAGTCAGAAGAAAACGTTCTGGTTAGTTATAATTGTAGAAAGGAAAAAGACATTATGGATACGAGTTAAGACTTCACTTAATAGTAGTCAGTTTGATCAACGAGTTAAGTAAGTTTGCTGCAATACCCAAGGAGACGAAGAGAAAAGGAGTCGAAAAATTCTCGCCACCACGTGAAGATCATTCTGGGAGGAAGATTACTTCTATCGATTCAGATTTAAGTAAATTGTGGGAAAGACAGCAAAAGACAAAAAAATACAGATTGACGATAACCACTTGAGTGACGATAATCACCGATGAAAGTCAGAAGAAAACGTTCTGGTTAGTTATAATTGTAGAAAGGAAAAAGACATTATGGATACGAGTTAAGACTTCACTTAAGAGTAACTCTCCATCACTGTAACATGATACTTTATACAGTCAGAACGTGCAATAACTAGGCACAAAACTGACAGAGTACTGAGACATTCGACGTCCTGACACCTAGCTTCAACACATCTCCGTAGCGCTAACCGACAGCCTTCCAACTTGGAAGGTTCAAGGTTATGGAAAGACCAAAGAAGGGAAGGCAAGCGCAACGAAAACGAGCAAAAGCTACAGTCCCAACGGAACAAAGAATATCGATTGTTACTGGACGATGACGAGACCAGTACGATATTAAATATCGGGCTGCTTCGAATTGTAGTTAGACCGCTTTGTCAAATTTTGACAAAGCGGTCTAACTACAATTCGAAGCAGCAAAGCAGCACAAAACCCAACTTGGGTGGGTCATAAATATCAAAGATAAGTAAAGAAATGGGAAGCTTTGCGAAAACGAATTGTACAAGCCGTTAATAATTGGACTTTGTTTTACTTGTGCGTGTTAGAATGACGGCACAACTAATCCTATTGATAGCCAATATTACAGACTGAGTTTGCTTTTTGCAGTCATAGTGTAACAGTTTTCCTCTCCACGCTCTGTTACATCACTACCTGTATACACCACATGATGGTGGCCCACATCTAACACCATACGTCTACACTGACAGCTAGCACCATTTTCGTGAACACGCGCTCTTCTTATCTATGTGCTAAGCTTTCACCTCGTCCCGCCGCTCTTGCTGATTGGAAGCTGCGTTGCGTTGATCCTATAGTTCACTGCTCAGTTTAGTTTATGCCTCGAAATTACGTCTCAGTTTAGTTTAGTTGTCTTATTCTGAGATTCAATGAATACTGTTACACATAGTCTCATGTCCATTCTACCGTGGCGAGGTGAGGGAGAGTGGCGTGCATGCAGTGCGGACTGTTGTCACGACTCATGCCTCCTGTGGTTTGGTGATAGTGGTGGCCACTAATACTAATAGGCACTATGGCATTGACAATGGTCGACTGGGGGAGCATTGCCATTGTCGGGATCATGCCCGGGAGTGCGGGTCAGGCCTCAATCCAAATAAAAGCCAATCAGGCTGCACCGGTTTGTCATCATTGCCATTGGCATTGGAAGCCTCGCAACACACAGACTTCGCCGTATTCACCAAGATCCGCTGCAGTCTCACACTCTGACACAGCCATTGACCTCTATAGCCGGGTTGAGTGCACTGCAAACACATACAATGTTATGTCATGTAATAATCTACACAGGTCAGTTTGCAATGGAATGATTTATTGTTACTCTGGAGGTTGACTCGGAGGGAGAGCATAGGTCTGAGCTAGGATACATTTATAGGAAAAGGACCAAGGAACAACAAGTTTACGCTATGATATCCCCTTTAACACCACGCTGATTGTCAAGTAACTGATGGTATTAATTAAATATTGTGGACATTATCACGTAACTTGGAGTTTCTTGGTCCTTTTGCTATAAACTCTGGAGTTTGATGGCTATTCTATTTGACCAATCTTCGGACATCAAGTGCAATAGCGTTAGCCTGTCTGATTTACAACGTCAAGAGTGCATGACCCCATGCTGCTGTTGACAAGTACAATGACTGTTATTCATGTAGAGTAGGGTCCTAGTAGTGGTATAGTAGAGCAAGCGGGTCATACACAGTCGTGACTCATGGAAAATCTCCGCATAGACATACCGCCTCCCTACATCATGTACATTGGCCAGAGTGACTACAACTACAACTGGATGTCTTGTTGTGGAAGGAAACGTGAACATGCCCTGAAGGCCAGTGAAGAACTGATGATGCTTTCATGTTATTGGGTTCTATGCCTGTTTGAATTTGCGAATCAAAATAAATACAAACAAAAAATGTAGACTCGAGCCTACGCTATGTTACATACCATTATGCTAGTGTACTGGATTTAATTAACTAATCTAGCGGAGACCTACGCCATGCAGGTGGATCTTGAAGATCCTGAAGGCCAGGCTTCACAGAAAGATCTTGTACAACCGCGCAACTGAGCTGAGTGAGGGACGATGTATGTATGAATTTTTAATTTTAATTCGCAAGTACACACGGGCTACAAGCCCAATTGCATGGAAGCGAATGTGATAATGAGGTTAATTAAGAAAAAGGGTGGAGGAAGGAGGAGGACGGTAGCAAAGCAACAGGGAGGACAATTTAGCGCAAAATTAACAATTGCACAAATATGAGAGTACCTGAGACCGAGGGTACCTGTGGAGCGATAAAATGCTGAAGGCAAACAGAAGAAAGGAAATCATAAGCCAATACGCGCTAAACTGCGCTTGAGTTATAATGAAGGGGAAAACCGGAGCTCAAGAAAATTATAACATACAGTGTGTCTTTCCCTCAAACCAGTTAATACAAAGTCATAATAAGAATTTAACTGGATGAAGAGTAGCACATGTCATTGTCAATATTTTGTACAAATATACAGTATAGCCATGTCCGCGTCGAAGTGTAACAGCTGTTGATGAGTCCACCAGGAAGCCCTACAGTACGGGCTACACATACCAGTATGTGTAGCCTGTACTGTCTGTAGGGCTCCCTGGAGTCTACAGCTTCGCTTATGCTTCTACATGTAGCTAGCTTGCGTGAGAGGAGAGAAACCAGCGAGGCAGCGAAGGCAGGGTTGATGGGATCGGAATGGTCTAATGCCAGACTGGTTGTTTAACGGAGCTGAGCAACACACACTGTGCTGCATGTGGTACACTTAGCCTGAAGAAGAGCACTGTAGCCTACTGTAGTCTTGAAGAGAACCAGGGAATCTGAACTATTGGCAGTACTAGTACTAGTATTAGTATTAGTATTACTATCATTAGCAAGAGTATAATAACCACTATTGGTATTACTTGACTGAAGTGTGTTTTATGCAGTGCCATACAGTAATACACAGGCATGGCTTTGGAACTGACTTGCGAAACTGCATCATGACTGCTGTGCGTTTGTTTCTTGTAGCTATGTATGTGAATCTCAGCTCTTGTGATCTAGTCTCTCAACACCAAACAGCATGCCAACTTACTTCATCGTTTGTTCATTCCTCGCACATTCAAATGGCACATGCCATTTCACTCGTTGTTGAGTCCAGACCCTTCAGAAGCGCTTGAGGTGCACTTCACCTTTAGCGCAGCAACCACCATATCCATGCACGCTTGTGAAGAGGCCATCAATCGCTTCATTCCAAAGCAGGATTGGAACTGCGGAATTGTTTTACCTCATGCAGACTGGTTGTGTGCATGTGCATGCGATGTAAGTTGTCATGACTGTACGTTCGTTCGTATGTCCATATTCCACATCCGTGTGTACAGCTGTGTGTGTGTGTGTGTGTGTGTGTGTGTGTGTGTGTGTGTGTGTGTGTGTGTGTGTGTGTGTGTGTGTGTGTGTATACCTGTGTCTATGGGATCCACCGCTATACTACAGTATACAATCATCATGATTGTATTGCGTGTTCAATTGATACGAAGCGTCGGCGTGAACCCCTGACTTAGTTCCACCTTGGGGTCCTAGCCTAGCCTAGCGATCACACGCTGCACGCAACGTGTGCACTTCCTTCTTGCGTTCGCGCCCGGAATGTGATTCCGAAACCACCAGATTTCCAGCAACGAGGAAGAAGTCCAAGAAGAAGGGCCGGACATTGACTGCTTGTCAAACCCAGCTCCGTATCGGAGCGTGCAAGCAGTACGTAGACGGCTCAGGTTCTCACAACTATCGTCATTTTCCAGGTAGACCTGGAAGTGGTGAGGAGAACGGGGTGCTAAGAAGCTAAGGTCGTCAGCCTGAACCTACCATGGACCTTCAAATGTTACTCTTGTCCGTGCTGGCATTCGTGGCCGGCATGCGAACAGCGCACGCGAGTTGCCTTGATACGGAAGCAAACTGCTTCGCACCTACGACGAATCAGGCTCCGTTCGCCACTGCCACTGCCACTGAAACATGCGGCATCGAGCTGGGAACGGAAATGTACAGTTTTGGCGGCCTTCAAATCGGAGGTCCCATCCCACCCCAGAGCGGGTTTACGTGTGATGCGTCGCTGCCGAATTTCGCGCACAACGTTACCTCGCTGAACGACGGCAACGTCTCGTCGTGGTGGCAGGGACCGCATAACAGGCGCGTGAACGCCCTGCGACTGAACTGGCCGAATGGGTTCTTCATGACCAGCATCGCGATCGAGCACCGCAGTGTCCGGCCGAGTCGTGCTACGCTGGAGTATTCCACTGACAACGGGCTAACCTGGTCTGTCTACAACTTCTACGCCAGAAATTGCCGGTCGCCGTCCAATGGCTTTCCACTGGTACCAGAAGTCGACATAAACAACTTACCGCAAGATACATCAACAGTATGCTACGAACAGGAGTCAGGAACAAATCCCGAAGACCGTGGACAGGTAACATAATCACAATTGAAGCATGTATGATTGGCGGACACTGGAATGTGTGGTGAACGGCTCGATGGGGCATGGGCTAACGAATCTTTCTTTATCGCTCCTGATTAGATATAATTATTATACTTGTCTTTACCGTATAGGACTCGAGATGAGGTGCTGAAATTGTCTGCTCAGTGTGTCGCAATTCACTTCGTAAATATGCAGTGCCGGTGATAGAAAATGACAATGTACACTTCGCAGTCGCAGCTTGAGGTTGACGTAGAAATTGTCGACAGAGAGCAAAATAATTTCGTCTGCCGGCGAAACTCGCGACCGTCCAATTTCCACCCAAGCAATCTCCCACCCGCTGTGGATTACGAAGTTCTAATCCCACAGTTTGATACCGTTGCGCTGTTTCCCTTAGGCCGGTTAGGGTATTCACACTAGAAAGTAGAATGCCACTGAACAGTTTCAAGGCTGCCCGAAAGGCCCAAAGTAAAACGAAAGGCCCAACATAATTGCAACAAAGGTAACATCCCCCCCCCCCCCACCCTGCCCCAGTGAATCGCGTTCTGTGTGTTTAGTTGTGCATATGGCCCCACTATGGGGTCGGAGCGGTGTCACTGTCATAATCAGTGCAGTAGAATATTATTATCTGGCGCGCTCAGAACATGAGCTTTATCAGGGGTCAAATAATTATTGTAATTCTGCACCCATGTCCTCTCTCTCTGCTAGCATTGCCCAGCTGTTGGCTTGTAAGCTAGGAGTAGACAGTACCGACTAGTAGGTAGGATATTGTGTGTAGCACGTCGGATTTTGTGCAGCTGTGCCAGAATTTCATAGGGTGGATCTACCCAGCAGCAAGGCAATATAGTCCGTAGGGATATTATCCCTGTTCAAAGAGCAAATACAAATACAGTTTCGCACCCCTCGGGGCGCAGCCCTGTCTCCATGAGGTTCGGATGAGAAGAATGTTCGGATAAGGGAGCAGTTACACAGCTATCAAAAACATGCATATTCCCGCATGTTTTCATCTTTTACATTCTCTTTGGCAGTACAACAGGAACTAGGTGCACTCCAGCTCCTCAAAATGACACCATCGTCATACATTTAGGCCTCGTTTACACAACAACGATTGAAAACGTTTTTGTCAAAAACCTTTTCAAAAGAACGCGCTTCCACAGATTTTGATAGGAGCGTGCACACGAGCACGCTGAAAAACGTTTCGAAAACGTTTCAAAACAAAAACGGCCTTCAGAGTGTTTTCCAATCGTTTCCGTTTCGTTCTCGTGTAGACGGTGAAAGCGTTTCACTACAACTGAAAACATGCCGCCGCCAGGCCAACTTATTGCACGTGACCATTGCGCGCCGAAAACGTGTTGCAGTGTACACGCTTATCGTTTTCGTGTGAACAGCAAAAATGTTTCGAAAACGGAATAAAAACGTTTTCAATCGTTGTCGTGTAAACGAGGCCTTAGGGTGCATTCTTATATTCTCTAGCTTCTCGGAGAAGAAGAAAAGAGAAGTCGAAGAAAGTGGTATAATGCAAGAACAGGTCTCCAAGAATTCGGAGATATTTTGCACATGTGAAGCAATATGAAGTGCCACGAATGTAGTACGAACTGTGCGTATGCAAAAAGGGAAATGCGAACACTCATGATCAACACATGCGTTTAACTGTAGTTCGCATGCGCTGATCCCAAACCGCGGGAATCTCCAAGTTTCAACCACCTCTGAAGCTTGGAGAGCTTTGGAGAGCCTCCTGAAATTCGGAGGGGATATAAGAACAGCTCTCGAACTCAAGTTTCCGAGAGTCTCCAACTTTTCCGAGAGGATTAAAGAACGCACCCATAGACTCCAACGTGATGTAGTGCATCGTGTGCATCGCTTGAAATTGAATGGTGCTCCAAGAGTGGGGAAAAATCAGCAAAAACCTCAAAAAAGCAGATAATTTTTTATTGTCCAACGCGCCCAGGCTGCCTGCAAGCCATGCATGCTACCTACGGCTAGTGGTAGTGCTAACTGCAGTACAACTACTTGAAGTACAACAAAACTCATTACTTTAGTACATTACAGACTCAGTGCTCTGCAATGGGAACCAATCAAGACTCTCCCAAGAGTCACATACTCGTACCCCGGCCGGCCAGTGCAGCTAGTGCACTGCACTGGTGTGATGGATTTCATGGAGCAGCACTGCATGCCGCATAACGGATTGCACTGGTGCATTTTGTATGTACGGATGAAAGTGGCACTCACTGGCCCTGGATGTTGTAATAGGCAATGGGCTATGCGGAATGCCACACTGAGAGAGAGAGAGGGGGGGGGGGGGGGGGGTCTGCTATTTATTCATGTACTTGTAGCAAATTTCTCTTGCCACAGCTAGCTGTATTGCATCTGATCTTGTTCTATGATCACTTTCATGGTGGTACTGTAGCATGATCCCATATTCCTGTGATGTCATCTTCAACAGCTACTTGAGAGTTGTACAGTAGTATAGTAGGCAGCATTACACTTGATCCGGATCACTTTGGCTCTCAAGTGTTTCTGTAGCTGAATTATCACAGTGCATGTATCACCCTATGGCTAGGACCTATTAATTTTTGTCACCTAACTAACTTACTTCCTAAGACTAAGAAATAAGATGCCTATTTCAGTGAGTCCATCTAGCTGTGGCATTCCCATGCACAGCATCATTTCACTGGATATTATGCAGATACTAGTAGTACTTGAGAACTTGAGAACTTGGGCTGGTTATCTAAAAGGGGAACCGAGTATTTCCGAGTATTTCTGTTCTGACTGTTTCTTTGGTAGCAAGCTCCCTTCTTATTATCCAGAGTCTGAGGTTGACAAGAAAACTCTATGCATGTTGAATACGATTGTGAAAGAATGGTTAGACTCGTGTAGAGAGCCAAGGATTGATTTATAAGAAGAAATGAGGACCAAGGAACTGCAAATTACACTAAAATATCCACTAACGCCACCAGTTACTTTACAATCAGCTCATGTGATAACATTGCACGAACCGGACTATTTACTGTTGTATACTAGTGTTGAACATCTGTCAATGTCTTAAGACAATAAATCTATATCGACTACATTTCCCTGTCTGTGAATGTGTATGTTCCTCCGTGCTTTTGTGTGTGTGTGTGTGTGTGTGTGTGTGTGTGTGTGTGTGTGTGTGTGTGTGTGTGTGTGTGTGTGTGTGTGTGTGTGTGTGTGTGTGTGTGTGGTGTGTATGAGAGAGTGTGTGTGTGTGTGTGTGTGTGTGTGTGTGGTGTGTGTGTGTGTGTGTGTGTGTGTGTGTGTGTGTGTGTGTGTGTGTGTGTGTGTGTGTGTGTGTGTGTGCGTGTGTGTGTGTGGTGCCCATGTTTCTCTCACTGCGATCAGGTGACCTTCACCCCAGAGTCGCGCATCGGACAGAGTCGCTTCACCAACGTCACGCTGATTGAGAACTATGTGGTGATAACAAATCTACGCTATGACCTCTCCGTGCTCTTTACCCTGTCCGAGGTGCCCGAAAACGCCCGTGGAACGGAGGAGGCAATGCGCTACTACTACGGAGTGTACGAGTGGGTTGTCAACGGAACCTGCCACTGCTATGGCCACTCGAACAACTGTACGGCGCTGGCTGGCGATACACCGGGGGTAAGGCTACATTTATACACTCACATACAATACAGTCAGACCTCGCTTAACCGCCGCACACATCCGTTATCCACAAAAATACCCGGATAGGCGACGGAACCGGATAATCAAACACATACTGTATGCACACATGACATATGCTGGAAATTGGCAACCAACGATTTTCTTCCAGGTCAATCATCAAACCGAGGTGATAACGCAAGCGCGCGTTGCTGGAGCATGACATGTTGCGCTGGAAGTCGTGCAAAATTAAAGCAATCAACAGACAGCAACTGCGAGAGGTATTGCTGGTAGACACACTTCTCTATACAAAGTGCGGAATTGCACTAGTTTGCCGTGTGTACTACCATCCATTCAACAGCACTATAGTCTGTTTCAAAAAGATTTACAATCAGGTTTGGGTCTTAAAAAGTATGAAGATAAGGGAAATTTGGACAACAAAGTACATAGAATGGCTTGTTAGGACACGGCAAATTGTTCTGTGAAGGTTTCGGAACAATTGGATCAGCCGTTAAGGAGTTAGAATTTCGGCCAGGTTTCCGGCCTTTTCCCATGGTTTACAATTTGCCCAGGAAGCCAGTATCGATTTTTTATCAAAACTCACGATTTATCCCTTCCTTTTTGGCCTTGTGGTTATGAATGCTGTCTGCTGACCATGAAGTAATAGTTGTGAGTTCAAATCCCAACCTATCCTCAAGTCAAACTTTTTTTCTTCATTGTTTTGGTGATCAAGCTGGTACAAGACAAAAAAGATGGCTGCACCAAACGACTTGTTGTTGTTGTTGGAGCTCGCGTTTCCTGCCGAACTGACTGACACTTGACTGGCTCACGCCACGTCAACACACCCACAACACTGCAATGGTGTGAGTGAATATGGAAGTCATCGCGCTGTAGCTTTTTGAGATTTATTGTAGTATTTCAAGATCTTCAAGATCGCCAATTTATTTGAATTTAGCAGTCAACGCCGTCTTCTATCAGCGTTCACAAGCGTCTGCTTTCCTCAAAATGTTGTCGAAATCACACGGATAGCTTTGCCAAGTCATGGCCTTGGGAATGAGTCCGTGTCGATGTCGTTTTCGTCACACGGTGAGTAAATTGCATCGCAGCTCAAAGAAACTATTTTGGTCACAAGACGAATTGGGACCCATGCCGCTCGTCAACATTTACAACATTTTCGTTTCGACATGTCCTCTCTGACTCCATTATCGATACGAAGAAGAACTCGTTTGTTGTAAACCAGACGACAGACGTACATGTACATGACTGTATCAACGTGAGTGAATTGTCATTTTTCCTGCTTTCGCGCGGAATATTTCTTCGAGTTCACAGTGAGTTTTTCCAGGCAGCGCTCGAGTGCTCATACGGTAAGACGCCAAACTCCGCGGGCGATCGCCAGGATTGCAAATCTTTTTGAAACGGACTGTAGTATCTACGTTCTCTGCTGAGGAACTCTGTTGGAGCGAAGCAGCTTTCTGGAGGGTCTGGCACATTCAAAATCTGAACCGAAATGTCCTCTGGGTGGTCCTGCGAAGTGTCCTAGCTATCGTGGTCCTGCGAAGTGTCTTAGCTATGGTGGTGATGTGCAAGTGCAATCTGTTGGCAGAGAGCGCATGGTGGATGGTGGATGGTGGATTGGTGGAGTGACTGATACTTGTGTAATGGCCGAGCTTCGTTGGTAACACTTTTCGACCGAATTTGATTTGCCTTAGAAAAAACCTGGCCGGTCAAGCAGAGCTAGCCCTCCAACCTAGTTGCTCTCGTGGCAACCCGGTCTCCCTATGCTGTCCGTACTCTGCCTTGTGTTCTCCTCTCTTTTCTCTCAGTAGTTGTTTTCTCTCTCTTTCTTTCTTTCTTTCTATCTCTCTCACTCTCTCTCTCTTTCTCACTCTCTCTCTCTCTCTCTCTCTCTCTCTCTCTCCCTCTCTCTCTCTCCTCATCCAATAAGCTCTAGCAGTGATGTATCTATGCCACGGGTGTCACAGGGCAGTGAGGAGTGGCACGACCGGGGTCCGGGGATGTCATGCGGGGAAAGCACTCGGATCTTTCGGCCAACAGGGCACGTTTCAGCGTTCTTTCATTGTGCTTATGGATGAATTGTACTGACCGTCAATGCATCCTGGAGGAAAGGTGGTACGACCATGGTGGTACCAGTCTGTACCGTCTGTGACACCCCTGTGTATGTTCTTGCTCTCTGTGTGCGGGCCTCAGTTCCAGTCCGGTTGCAACTGTGCTCACAACACAATGGGAGCAAACTGCGAGCAGTGCCTGCCGCTGTTCAACAACCGCACATGGCTGCCAGGAACGGACACACAGGCAAATGCTTGCGAAGGTAAGGCAGCTTTCCTTCGGATGTGCGGGTGCTGAACTACTGCGTTCGCCGTGTTGTTGAAACCCATCACATGTCCGGTCAGGAAATGTGTGCGGCATGACAAGTGAATACGATAAGAGTCTTGGTTACCCGGCGTCTCACAATGTACTTTTCTCGTTTCCTTGTTTGTTCTGCGCACAGAGTGCAATTGCAACAACCATGCCGTGTCGTGTACGTTCAACGCCGCGCTCGGCCAAGGGGTCTGCAACAACTGTACGGACAACACGGTGGGAAACAACTGTGAGGCCTGCGCGTCTAACTTCTTCGAGAACATGGCCGTGCCGAGGACCGATCCCAACTTCTGCCTGCGTAAGATGAAAGATGCCCCCCCCCCCCACCCTGCACATACTCGCCAGTTAAGAGCACCAACACAATTTAAAGATTCACGTGAGACTCGGTGTTTAGACCGAGTTTCCGCTTCCGTAGGAACACCGCCACCCTCAAAGATCAAGGTGCAGATGCAGCTCCTGAACCAAGACGGGTTGCTACTGACTCTGTCTAAACACTGTGTACCGTGTGTGTGTGTGTGTGTGTGTGTGTGTGTGTGTGTGTGTATGTGTGCGTGTGTGATCTGTTGAACTACACCGCACATCTCTCGGAAGACAGTCACTATGTGGTTGATATAGTCCCGGTCTAGTTGAAATGTTCGGGGCTTCAAATGTTTTGTATCTGCCTATACCTTTCAACTGCTCCGTATTGTACGCCTTCACCAGGTTCCTCAGCGGATTTCCTACCAGACATACATTAAAAATTCCGCATGTGATCAAATATTCATTAGAATTCTCTTAACTTTAATTTAGTTTTAGTTTTATTCCAAACAACACATGGCTAGGGCAGCCAATGACCACTTTGCGTGGCGATTTCAGGGTTTTTTATAGCCAACCATGCCTAGCAAGAAAAAGAAAAAGGAGTCGAAAAGAAAAGGAAAAGAAGAGCAAGAAGCAAATATGGACCAAAATTACGGTCTAAAGCAAGGCTTTCCTGAATGCAGTTTAAGTAGAAGGGCCCTTTGTCTCCTGGTGCAGCAACAGCCACTGCGAGTAGCCCTTGAAAAAGGGGGAAGTGTTGTAATACAGAAGAGGGGGCTCAGTAGCGGGGCTTTCCGTTAAGTTCACTAGCTGCCTCGAGCTAATAAGATATAATGCCTGCGCAGAATTTGTATGTCCAACTATGTATGTCCAGTTATTAAAACTGCTGTACAATGTCAGAAACAATCACACTATTCAATAGTTATTTTCGCGGCTAACGAAATATATTTCCAAACATTGCAAACTGATGCTATCAGGCCATCTAGTCCAGGCATGAAAGGTCGAGAGAGTTGAGTATGGAACTGAAGTCTGAAGAATAAAATTACTGTCACCGCCAGGACACCAACCATGGACCCTCCCTTATGAAACAAAGTGTCCCAAATCGTTATCTAACGAAATAATTTGCGGGTAGTCGTCTTGTTCTATGCAGTGCTAGGTCTTGACCTCTTGTCTATGCTGTGTTTGTTGTCGTGTTTTGTATGAAGCATGCGGCTGTGACCCGATCGGAACGCTGGAGAACACGGCTTGCAACTCCACTGGCCAATGCCAGTGCCAGGCGAACGTGATCAACCGACCGTGCAGCGAGTGCGCGGACGGTTTCTTCAACCTGACGATTGACAACCAGCTGGGATGCGAGCGTTAGTACTGTGCAGTGTCTGCTCTAGGATTGTAGGACAGCCGGGTACACGTGTACCTGGCGCAACCATTTCAACCGGGTCGTAACCGGGTACACATGTACCTGGCGCTGTGTCACCAGCCGAGGCACATGCTTTAACTGGTTGGTTGGTTTATTTTAATTCGGACGATAAACGGGAACTAGGTCCAATGACATAAAGGCGAATGGATAAGCCGCATTTAGAAAAGAGAGGGCAGGAATTAGAAAATTACGAAAGAAGAAGAAGTATCTGATAATCTGACACATACAAGCCATGTGGTCAGTCCTTTCAAAGTTCGAAAGTGTAAAGTACCAACCGGGTCACAGGTGACCCGGTACTATATTTTCAACCGGGTCCAAGCGCCGCCCAACCGGGTGGATTACCCGGCTCACCCGGCGCTGGAGCAGGCACTGCTGTGTGTGCGTTGTACCCTGCTTAGTTATAGACCATCACTGCAAGACGGGGACCAGTTGGGTTCGGAGCGCTGGCATCCTAGATCCTTGATCATGCTTGATGACACGTATAGATCTGTGCAGACAGCTCATTTGTACATGTGTGTAGAAAGTTGAACCGTTCAATTACGTCATTGTTCCAGGTGTTTTGCATGGAGTAGCCTCACCACTGTCACCACTCACCAGCACTTGCTTGCCACTCTGCGATGACATCATTCAATTGCGTCATCGTTTCAGGTGTTTTGCATCTAGGGGTAACACAAGCGCAGGCTTGCCACTCTGCGATGACGTCACTCGCAGAACCCCCTGTAAAAATTGGTATTTAGGGCACCGTGTGCTTGTTACCACGAGCATTGGTGGTACCTGCTTACAGTTCGGACGCAAGATAAAATATCATGTTATCAACTGCAGCACAGACCAAGTACATGTATGTTGTTCTTGACCTGGCTGCTATGACCTTAGCCCAAAGGCCGGCGGGACCGGGTGATATGGCCCTAGCCCTACGACCACCCGGACCGGGTGATATGGCCCTGGCCATACGACCGACCGGACCGGGTGCTATGGCCCTGGCCATACGACGGACCGAACCGGGTGCTATGACCCTAGCCCTGCGACCGCCCGGACCGGGTACTATGGCCCTAGCCCTACGACCGCCCGGACCGGGTGCTACAGCCCTGGCTGGACAGGTTGGCTGGACACTTCAACCCTGAGTTGGTGCTATCTACTGTAGGAGATCGTACTTCAGCTGGCAAGTGTGAAGAAAACTACCAGACCCAAGTACATCCAGGGACCAACATCAATGTGCACTATGCTCTAGCAGCTCAGCACAATCCCAAGTAGGCGTACAGACCCTGGAATGGGACAGACAGACAGACACACACACACACACACACACACACACACACACACACACACACACACACACACACACACACACACACACACACATGCACACACACACACACACACACACACACACACACACACACACACACACACACACACACACATATACACACACACACATGCACACACACACACACACACACCAACCCAGGTACATTGTAACAAACACCAGCTCAGGTGACACTGTTTCAGGACTGAGGTACAAGCACAGACACCAGCACAGACACAAGCACGGGTTCTGGGCAGAAACCTGGAGTACCATGAGGTAGTAGCTGTGTGTCAGACTGTGTCCACGGTGACAAAGAGCCTGAGTGTTGAGCTATGGAGTAACCATGGTAACCATGGTGCACGTACAACTCTTGGTTTGGGGAGCAGGTGCAATGTAAGGTGAATGTCACCGCGGCTTCTGTCATAATGGTTAGCGCATCTTTTTCATATTATCGTGTGTGTGTGTGTGTGTGTGTGTGTGTGTGTTCTCTGTAACTTTGTCCCATCCTGCAGCATGTCTGTGCAACGAAGCCGGCTCGGAAAACCTGATTTGTGACAAGGATAACATTGGCCAGTGCCTGTGCAAAGCCAACGTCCACCAGCGCATGTGTGATCAGTGCATGGTATGCGCTAGTGTGGTGGTTGTTGTGGTTGTTGTTGTGGTTGTTGTTGTTGTTGTTGTTGTTGTTGTTGTTGTTGTTGTTGTTGTTGTTGTTGTTGTTGTTGTTGTTGTTGTTGTTGTTGTTGTTGTTGTTGTTGTTGTTGTTGTTGTTGTTGCTGCTGCTGCTGCTGTTTGTTTGTTTGTTTGTTTTGCACAGGCACCTTAGCCGCTGTATTTGTTCACATGACAGTTTTCTCGTCCTGCTGTATGTGCATGTTGTGGCTAGCATGCGGTATTGAGCACTCTCCAGTTGTGGGGCTTACGACGCTTGTGTACATGTAGTTCTGACCTTGTTCACTTCCTTGTCATTGCACGTACAGCCCGCTTGGTCTGCAAACTGAAATGCAGTACCAGACAATAAACCAACCAATCAATGATACATTCAAAGCATGATGTCTGCAATTTTACTGGCGACAGTAACCATTTGCTGAAACTCTGTGTTTTATGTTTTCACACGTATCATCCATGAATAAGCTATGCCTCGGTAAAGGTCCCTTTGTTTTGTCAGGGTCCGGTTGCACTTGGATTTGAGCACCTGTTGCTTTTTTGGTTGTTGTATGCGTGCCTCCTGTAGGACGGTTTCTTCAACTTGACGGCAGACAATCCGCTGGGTTGCCTGCCATGCGAGTGTGACTGTGGCGGCTCCACAACACCGATCTGTGACAAGCAAACTGGGCAGTGTATGTGTGTTCCTTTCGTCACCGGCCGCCAGTGCACACGTCCAGTAGACCAATACTACTTTCCGGATTTCGACTGGCTGCGCATTGAAATGGAAGACTTCCAGCTACCAATGGTATGTACACGTGATCAGGGTAGTGGCCGCCAGGCATAGTATAGACTGTCCTGTGTCGGATCAGAGTAGTGACCAAGGGATAGCGTCTAGGTGGCCATGAAGTCGAGACCCTAGGTCGGCGGAGCTCCCTAAACCTCACCACCACTGCCACGATTCAGGTTGTGCATGCTTCCCCTAGCTGCATCTCATGTTTGGCATTTTAAAAGTGGTCTTTGTAAAAAATTAAAAAATTAATAAAAATACATCCCTTGTCCAGTACGACTCGAGTAAAGAGTCAGACACGCCACAACAGGGCATGTGCGTACAGAACTCTTTAAAAACGAGACATCCATACCACCGGCGAATCCATGCCGCAAGCATACACAACGATTTTGACGGATAGTATGCGTACAATACCGTGTTGGGTGAGGGCAGTGACAAGAGATAGTGTACCGTGACTTTAGGCATTTATATAGTGCAGCCATCACTGATCACTCCTTTACTTTAGATTTTTCTTGTGTGCATGTTAGGCCACGCTGTTTTTTTCCTATGTTTCGCGTCACCTTATTCGATGAAATCAATGAGGGAGGGCGAAAAAAATAAAAAAAACATCCAAAAAAAACAGTGTACGTGCATTGCATTTGTGACTTTTGTGTACAGTGAAGTGACGCGGCACTGCACTGTTCATGTACATGTACATGTACGTACATTGTCTGTGTATCCCCTCTGCCATGCTTGTGGTCCAAACACAGGCGGCATGATGATTGTGTGACTTGCGGCACAGCTGTACATGACATGTGTGTGAGCTGAGACAACAATCATGTTCCGTTTTTTTTCCTTTTGGGTTACATTTTCCGATTTTCTGGGTTTGCATTAAATTTGTATTGCATTTTCCAAAAAAATTTGTTCCGTTTTTTTTTTCAACTCCGGCTGTGAAATACATGCGCACGGGGGACGCGAAGCACAGATAAAAAACGGTGTGGCCTTACGTTGCACAGTGATAGCATACATGTACTGTGTGGGGACGGTCAAAACAAGGGATAGCATACATGTGCTGTGTGCTGTATGCGGTCAGGGCAGTGGCAAGGGATAGCATACACTGTGTGGGGTCAACAAGGGATAGCATACTGTACTGTGTGGGGTCAGGGCAGGCAAAGGGTTGAAGTGCATGTACCATGGTTGTTGCACTGTTCTAGTAACCCACATGCAGGGACATTGAGGAATCAACGACTTGGAGTTCTTGACTGCAATCCTGTAATGTGTATGTGGGGACAATAATTAACTTCAATTCACTTCCTATTGCATCTTCATACACCGGTCTAGTTCTTTTCATTTCTTTGAAAATGGGCAACAATTTTACACGGCTGAACGTCGTAAATTTACTTCAGTGTATGTTAAATCTTTGATGCCATCTTCATCTGGTCTGTCCATTGCCGGTGTCTGCAAGCATCATGTGGTTGCGTCTGGTCGAAAAATGAACCCACTAGCCCTTTGTATGTTGTGTGTACTGAATATTGGCTCATAACAAAGTATCTTTTTTCCTGTTTATTTTGCAGATGGCAGAAATCATCCGCATGGAGAATCCCTTCCCGGCGAACAACTTCACTGGCCAAGGCGTCGTCAACTTCCCTGCTGGCGCCAATCAAGCGTTATATCCACGACCGACACGGACCATCCCGACGCCCGGCCAATACCAAGGTGTTACATGCCTGCCTACGGTAGGTTGTGCAAGCTGACCAGCGCACCACGTAGACCCATGTCACACGCAGAGCACACGCACACATACACACACAGGGTGTGTGTATGTGTGCGTGCGTGTATGCATACGTGCATGTGTGCATGTGTGTGGGCGTCCGTGCGCGCATGTATGTGTGTGAAGCACTGGGTGCTCTTCTTCCGACACCTTGAACACTGTTCCAGCTGATGTGTATATACTTTGTACAGTAGAATGCCGATTATTCAAACGCCACTTGAAATATCCGAACGATCAATTATCCTAAATGCCTGTTATGGACTGATTTTGAGGGACAAAAATGAGTTTTTGCTAATTTTTCCCAACCGATACACCATTCAAATGACGCACAGGTAGCACTGGTGAAGAGAATGAGAAATGTTGAAAGCATGAGATGATATGTATGCTTTTCGAGAAGGATGTGTAGTCGCTCCATTACCCCTACATACTCCTGATCAAAAAACCCTGGAGACAGCCCTGGGGACAGCGCTGGAGACAGCCCTGGAGACAGCCCCGCGGGTTGCGGATAACCGGCACTCTTCTGTGACGGTGAAACAGGTCTGAGTACAAACTTGCCACTCGTATTCCGTAAACATTACAGTACATCATGGAAGAAAGCAATCGGAGCTTATTGAATGAGTGCAAGGTTCTAGCTAAAGGGGGTAGGGGGTAGGGGGCACCACCCCCTACCCCACCACTCCCCCCTCCCTCCCCCCCTCCTCCCTCCCCCCCTCCCCCCTCCCCCTCCCCCCTCCCCCCTCCCTCCCTTTCCTGGCAATAACATAGAAGTTGTAACGTCATCTTTCTATCCTTCTCACATGTTCTCTGTCCATCGTACACAGGCGACAAACAGCCAAATAAATCCCGCCGTCGATCCATCACAAATTGCACTCACCATAACCGGCCCAGTGACGGTGGATTCGGTAAGCCGTGTGCTGTGTCTAGTAATATTATGACTCCTTTCATTGCCATCATTCATATTGCGCATGCGTAGGAAGTACATCGTCTGTTTTGCCTTGACGGGTTCTGAGTGCGATGCAGAACAATGGCGACGAAGATAAAGAGGAAAGTGTAGGCAAGTTTTATTGTTACTGTTACTCCCGGCCTACTGACTACTGCAAGTACAGTAGAACGTGTGACTAACGACCACCCCTTGGAGCCAGGGAAAGCGGTCTTTAGTGGCAGGTGGTCCTTAGTTAGAGGTTTGCGCTGCACAACCATAATACAGTCAACTTCGCTAATAACGACTGCGGATATAACGACAATTCGCGAATAACGACAGAATTTCCATGCCCAGAGCAAAGTCCCATCCCACTGGAATACATATAATGAGACTTCGGGTATAACGACACTTCGCGAATAAGGACACCTTTTTGATGCCCCGCCGAGTGTCGTTATAAGCGAAGTTGACTGTATATGAATGTGACACCGTCCGTGCCTGGCGAAGTGGCCTGTAGTACCAGGCTGGTCGCTAGTCACGGTGGTCTGTAGTACCAGGCTGGTCGCTAGTCACGGTGGTCTGTAGTACCAGGCTGGTCGCTAGTCACGGTGGTCTGTAGTACCAGGCTGATCGCTAGTCACGGTGGTCTGTAGTACCAGGCTGGTCGCTAGTCACGGTGGTCTTTAGTTACAGGCTTTACTGTAATTCTTTTCTACGTATCGTGATGTCGAAAGTCAGTTTGGAGCCTTTCGACGGCTGTGAAGTGCGGGAAGTTTAACCCTCTGTGATAATTCTCGTTGCCACCAGTATTAGCTGATCTAGCTAAACTTTCTCTTCGCCGAGCAGTCTCAGAAGACTCTCTTGCCGAGCACTCTCAGAAGACTCTCTTGCAGTTTCATGGAGTTAACTAGATGTACTATTGAACTCAAGACTAACTCCTTAATAAAAATCTGCCATGTGTGTATGTGTGTGTGTGTGAGCGCGCGCGTGTCTGCATGTGCGTGCGTGGGTGCATTTGTGCATGCGTGCATGTGTGTATGTGCGTGTGTGTGTGTGTGTGTGTGTGTGTGTGTGTGTGTGTGTGTGTGTGTGTGTGTGTGTGTGTGCATGTGTGTGTGCATGTGTGTGTGCGTGTATGTGTATGTGTGTCACTGTGTGATTTTCACTTCTTCCCTCCAATGCACATTGTCCAGTGCACCCTTCATGTGTCACCTAACCTCTTCATAGGCACGTGCCTAGTTGGTGACATCTTCCTTCCCACATTTAGCCAGCCAACTCTGGATCTCCTTACATTGTGCCAAAACCATCGCATCTCTCAGCTGACTTCGTGTGAGCAGGCGTTTGATCCACGCTGCGAGTCCATCACCTTCACCACCATGATGGATCTGTGGGAAAGCGCCCTGCGTACGTACCACTCTCTGACTGCTGCTGCTGCCATGGTTTTGTGCTGAGCTTGGCTTGACTTGGAATACTAGCAAATTATCATGGTTTTGATGAACATAGTGGGATTGTTTGAACTGTCTTTGTCTCCACTGCACTATCTAACTCACAACCGCATCCTCTTGCTCAAGTGAACCATGTTGCAAACAGGTACAACTGTTGCTAAATAATGTTTTTGAACTCCATGGCATCACCGATTGGGTGGGCATACATCCCAATCGAAAAATCTGAGGCGGTTATGGTGGAACGGGCAAGGGGGGGGGGGGCATAGTGCTTATGGTCTACACATAGTGTGTGTGTGTGTGTGTGCGTGTGTGTGTGTGTGTGTGTGTGTGTGTGTGTGTGTGTGTGTGTGTGTGTGTGTGTGCGTGTGTGTTCGTGTTATGCCCAAGACAACTGCTCATCAGATGCATGTGGGTGCGCGTGCGTGCGTGTTTTGTTGTTGTGTGTGTGTGTGGGGGGGGGGTTCGTGTGCCTGTGTGCTTGTGTGCTTGTGTGTATATGTGTGTGTGTACCTTGTCCACGCCCGCTTACTGAGGTGTGGTGCGCTCATAAGTTAGATCGTTTCCAAATCCACCCAGAGCGGTTTGGAGATTTCAGGGGTGTGGGCCGTTGGGCGGTTCAATAGCCAATTGAGTCATCTTTCCAAGATTCCTTTTGAGTCCTTGTGCACCGCCCGTATAACAGAACACACAACAATAGAGTTGCATAGCCTGTGGCTGGCAATGGTGAAGTGTGTGTTTTCATGTGTGTGTGTGTGTGTGTTTGTGTGTGTGTGTGTGTGTGTGTGCGTGTGTGTGTGTGTGTGTGTGTGTTTGTATACATACAGCTTGCACCTGTGACGGTGTTGGCTCATCCAATAACACGTGCAAACAGTACGGTGGCCAGTGTTTCTGCCAGCCCAACGTCCAAGGCAGAACGTGTGACGAGTGCGTGCCTGGCTTCTTTGGATTCAGCAACACTGGATGTCAACGTGAGTAGTGCGTGCTGGTGTGTACTGGTGTGTACTGGTGTGTACTGGTGTGTACTGGTGTGTACTGGTGTGTACTGGTGTGTACTGGTGTGTACTGGTGTGTACTGGTGTGTACTAGCGTGTACTGGTGTGTACTGGTGTGTACTGGTGTGTGCGTAGACCACGGGCTTCTGCAGTCCTGGCAACTGAAATCTGACCCCTGTAGTGGTGCGCTCGCACTGCACCAACACAGCACGCGACCACACCAGCCGCAAACCATGGACTGTGCATGCTCATGTATATCTCAACTTCTGTACTGTACCAATGACGTATGTGCGGTCTTGCAGCAGAAACAATGAGGAGATGCGAAATCCAGTGTTACCCGGCATGTAACTGTTACGCAGTAGTACACAGCCGTACGCAAAACCAGAAGATGAATGCCAAGCAGTGATCTTTAAAACGCTTTGCTGGCTTATGTATCTGCCCCTTTGTTGTTCACAGCATGCGAGTGTGTGGTGGAAGGTAGAGTTGATAATCTCTGTAGCCCAACGGACGGACAGTGTAACTGCTTGCCCAACGTTGCTGAACGGGACTGCCGCCGATGCGAGACCAACTTCTTCGACTTCGGCAATGCAGCTGGTGAGGTTAAATCGTTGCTCTGCGTGTTTTTGCAGATGACACACTTTATAATGACGTATGCAATGAATCAGTGTAGTAGTAAAAAACACCAAACGTACACCTCAGACATGTTTCAGTTATCAGTGCTGGGGTAGGCTACATATGAACAAACGTCCTTGAGATTTCCAACTACATGATATGTAGCTGGAAATCTCAATACACTGTATTAAGTTCCCATAGCGACCCCGTCCCTCACACAGGTAAGTCAATAAGTGAGGCATCTAGGGATTGAGGAGTGCTGATTTCGAAGCAACTGGTTGAAGCTCAAAGTAGAGCTGCTGTTAGCTCAAGTTAGAATAAAGGAGGAACGGAGTGTCTCAGCTTCCTCGGACCAAGACCATTCGATTTAGCACCCCGAAGACTACAACTGGTGAAAATCTGATTTTAGGCTTAACTCCCCTTGAGTGAGGTGGGTCGGGAGGGGTGGTGGGAAAAGAAAATTCCTGAACCAAGATCTTTTGTATGGAAAGACACAGCAGGGCAAGTGGAGAGAGATTGCTCTGCTGGAGGTGCGGATGCATGCCAATTCCAGTGGTGATGTTCTGTGTCGGTCACGGCCACACTGCGGCAATCGTGTACATGTGCATCTGTTGCCTGTTCTAGGTTGCTCACCGTGCGAATGCAATCCTGACTTCAGCACTAGTCTCCAGTGCAACAACACGGGCGTGTGCACATGCTTGCCCGGCGTCGGCGGGGAAAAGTGCACCGAATGCTTGCCGGGATTCCACTCCATCATGGTATGTGCTGTGCAGCGTGTAGAATGCGGCGTGAAACGGTAGCGTATACTAGTGTATACTGCACATCACATACTTGTGTACAAATTACACTGTAATACACACACTTGAAAGAAGGAATCAAAAGCGTTTTTGCAGTAACTCTGAGTTTCATGGTTTTAACCGATCATCAGACACCAACCACACTACTAGCTTTCTTTTTTCGTTTTTCAACAAAGAACACAAACCCGGCTCGAGACAAAAATAAGAACAAGAAAGATAACAAAGTTGCATGCAGGGAGAACGAAGAAACGACTAGAACACAGAAGTTGTGGGTTCACAGCTGTAGTAGCTGTACTATGCTCTGCACGTTGGTGTATTGAGCACTGTCACGAGCTCGGAGCAACCGCAACTCTCTCAGAGTGTGTACAGATTATTTGTGTACAGTAGCACTGCACACTGCACCACACTGCGCACTGCAAACCACACTGCACACTGCACACTGCACACTGCACACTGCACACTGCACACTGCACACTGCACACTGCACCACACTGCACACTGCACACTGCACACTGCACACTGCACCACACTGCACACTGCACCACACTGCACACTGCACACTGCACACTGCACACTGCACACTGCACACTGCACCACACTACACACTGCACACTGCACACTGCACACTGCACACTGCACACTGCACCACACTGCACCACACTGCACACTGCACACTGCACACTGCACACTGCACACTGCACACTGCACCACACTGCACCACACTGCACACTGCACACTGCACACTGCACACTGCACACTGCACACTGCACACTGCACACTGCACACTGCACACTGCACACTGCACACTGCACACTGCACACTGCACACTGCACACTGCACCACACTGCACACTGCACACTGCACACTGCACACTGCAAACCACACTACTAACTACATTGTTGTATGGTGTCGCCATGGCAATGCCGGACTACAAAGGTTTTGCACCAGTACGCTTGTATAATTATGTTGATCACAAAAGCACACACCACCATCCAAGACAGTCTCTTGGCTGCAATTATCTGAATTCAGAGTTTCTTAAGAAAAGGAGGGGGGGGGGCTTGTCAACTGACAACCGCTCTCTTCAGTTGCTATTCACACTCAGCTCATGTGCTGCCGATGAAAAATTCTTTATTGTGATGTCGAAAAATTATGACGTTTCGGGCCAGTCACCCATCGTCAGAATACTGTTTCCAATATCCAAATTATCTTGCCAGGCCCATCTTCAGGAATGAAAGTCCCATACGAATGATATGTACACAGTCATGGTTTGCTGGCAGTTCTCTTCCCTGACTGCTATCAGTTAATTGGAAGTTCTCCCTATTCTTACCAAGGATATTGCTATTAAATCTGAGAAAGAGATGTCACATTGTCCGAGACACAACACTAGAGCTGTTCTGTATGTCCTCTCCTCTCAGTGGCTCACACATACCTGTAGGTATGGTGCTGTTTGGTTGCTGATACTCACGTCCCTGGCTGCTATCATTGAACTTGAAGTTCTCCCAATCCTTACCAAGGTTATTGTTATTACCTGACACTTTGAAATGATGTCACATCAGGAGCGGATGGATCCCGGAGGAGTTCCAGGAGTCCGCAGAACCCCCTACATTTCGTAAATGTACTAATGGAAACCATATGCATTGTACATAATATACATGACCGCATCCGCTATTCAGTTTTTATTAACCTGGACCCCCCCCCCCCCCCCCCCCCCTGTAGAGATCGCTGGATCTGCCCCTGCACATTGTGAGATGTAGCACTGGAGCTCCTTTGTATGTCCCGGTCTCACATATGATCTGTATGTACGTCGGTATTGTTTGGTTGAGTGCAGCCCGGCATTGGATGCACTCCATGCACGTGCGACCTGCGCGGCACTCAGGAAGGACGTACGTGCGACAACGTCACGGGACTGTGTCCATGCAAGGAGAACACGATGAACGCAAACTGCTCAGAATGCCGGCCAGGTACGGGGTAGGACCGTTAAGTACTGCCAGAGCGCCCCGTCTCGCGAGAGCGCCCCACCTTGATTTTACAGCCAGGGAAAGGAAAATCGTATAGCAGAGTGCAACGAAGTTTGTACGGTGTGAGAACCTTAGTGTACTAAGGTCACACTTAGCCTGAGGTTGTTGGGTGGATCTCGTGTCCGCTCGAAGGTAAATTGAGTACGGATTGACTGCACAACGTGTAATGTGTGTACAAGGTTCGTGTCGTATGACCTACAGACAGGAAACCACCTCCACAATACGACCAGGAAGGGACGAGATGGTGGGGCGCTCTGGCAGTGCTATACGGTAGTAGAAGTAGTATTAAATTTTATTATTTTACTGGGGCAATCCGGCCACAGACTATAAGTCTTTCTTCAGGGTATGATCCCAGGTAAGTACTGTCATCACACACCCTGTTGACGTGCACATTAGATGTGAGGCTACTGGCCTCACCCGAGGCTTACATTGGAAATGTTTGTGTATTACTAATATCTCAACCACATATTGGCAGCCTTACGATGAGCCAGGAGATGTTGAATAATAAATAAATAAATAAAAAACAGCTCGAAAAGCATGTTTGAGTAGCCCTTATGCTCTCTAAGACTTAAGAGATTTGGGTGGTCAGTGTCTACACCGGTGTTTTCCTACCATACTGTGCTGTGCATGCATGGACACTAGTGTTGGGCGTGTGGACGCAAGCCTCCACCACTCCTGCCCTCATCGGGGTTTGGTGCTTGTTGGATCGAAATATTCCTGTAAGGAACGGTCAGTTCAGCGTGCAAGCAAGGCTTGAGCTGCCTGCGAGATACTCTGCTACATACAGTCAACTTCGCTAATAACGACTGCGGATGTAACGACAATTCGCGAATAACGACAGAATTTCCATGTCCAGAGCAAAGTCCCATCCAACCTGTATACATACAATGGGACTTCGGGTATAACGACACTTCGCGAATAAGGACACTTTTCTGATGCCCCGCCGAGTGTCGTTATACGCGAAATTGACTGTATACATAAACGTGCCTTCTTGCTACACTGTGACCAGCGGTGTATATGTGACTGTCACAGAAACTGCTGTTGTGACGTATGTGATGTCAAACCGTTTGCACTGCTCCTTCTGTTGATGCCACTGCTATTTGCCAGGAACTTACGGCTTGAGTTTCACCGCTCCTCAAGGCTGTTTTGACTGCCTGTGTTCGAACAAGTCGTCGGAGTGCATGGCCGCATCCGGCTACCGCCTTAGCACGTTTGTTGAGAATTTCGAGAACGATGTGGCTGGATTTGTGGCAAGCGACCCAAGCGTGGGTATTGCTCAGAATACGGGTGACGGGTGAGCCTTGTCTATGTGTGCATGACTATTATGCTTCCTCGATGTGTGAAGACTGGGTCTCGTGATGCCAATCGTAGCTGTGAAAAGAGATTCGGCTGGACAAAGTTTTAACTGTCCTTCACTGGTTTCTCAACTTTGTACTTTTGGTACATACAGCATTGGCTGGGAACCTGAGATGTTTGGTCGGGGAGGGGAGAGGGGGAGGGGGAGGGGAGGGGGGGGGGGGTTGAATGCACCTTACCTCCACTACTGCTTGGTTAGTACAGGTCCTCCCTCATTATAACGAGTCCGGTTAGTACATAAACCCCGTTAGTAAATAGAAATCTGAAATCCCCTGGCGAAACGTGGTCTATACAACTGTTTACAGGTCCGGTTACAACATAATCCGTTAGTACATAAAATCCGTTATAACGACCCTTTGCCCAGGTCCTGGAGTGCCAAACCCTCAGTATAAGATAATATTGACCATGCAGGACCAAGGCCAAAACATGTAGGATAAAGCAGAACGAGGAAGCGTATGATGTCTATGTATTCGTGAATATGGACGATCCTTTGCATCCAAGGAAGAGTTATGTTGGAGATTTTCAATTATCTTATAACGAGTTGAAGCATCGATAATTTATGTTGTATCGAGGGTAGCCCCGGTAAGTACGAAGTAGTGCCTATTTCACCTTTAGCTGCAAGTCCTGCTACAAGATAAGTCTCGTTATAAGATAACTTTTTCGATGGCCCAGAGATTATCTACTAACGAGGGAGGACCTGTAGCTTGGATGGTTCAGATAGAGCGAATGTATCTTTTGAGTTTTGATATTTCTGAGCCACCCGAGTTACACATAGGTTGTATGCTGCTTTGCTGCTTCGAGCTGTAGCTAAACCCATTAGACCGTTATCACACTGCGTTTGTTTGAGTCGCGTTTGCGTCTGCGTTTGCGTTTGAGACTGGAAAACGCAAGACGTGCTATCATACTATACTTGTGATTTTCAGCGTTTGCGTCAAAATCTGTGCACGCGGGAAAATACAAAAATGTGGGGAATCGATCTCCAGGTGGCCGTGGATGCTGAATTAATTATTTTCCTGAGATCGAAAAGTGTTCTGTTTCTGCTCCTATGTCCTTTGTCAGTGGTGCTGGGGGAATGGGAGTCGATGGGAAGACTGCAGCCGTTGCGTTGCCTGTGTTGGGGTGGCAGTTCCGTTGTTGAGGCACATCGTCCAGCTAGGCTAGCCGTCGCCAACTAGTCAGCGCAACCTCAGCCAGGAGTTCGCATCAGCTCCATGCCTCGCGAATCCAAAATCAATCAATCAGTACAATGTCATGTAGTAGAAGTACCCTCGCCGGCCTCAGCAACTAGATGGAAATGAAGATTTGAAAAGCACACTTGAGAATCATTTGAAAACACTCAAAAACAATGCAGGAAGTGCTGCGATAAAGAAAGTCCGATCTGCGTTTACACGATTTGGTTTTGACTACCCCCCCCCCCCCCCTGGTTTGCGTCTGCGTCTGCGGCTGTGCGTCTGGAAACCAACGCGCTCGCGATAACATCACATGATGGCATTTCCTAGGCGACCGTCAAAAACCGAAGAAAACGCAGACGCAAACGCGACTTTTGAACGCAGTGTGATAAGGGCCTTACTTTTGTCAAGTGCATGTATCTTACCGGTCTCGTCATCGTCAATTGACAGTCATCAGTCAACATTCCTTACGTTGAACATTGTGACCCTTCCCCCGCCATCATTGTGAGAACTGGCTTGTACTCATTTTCGTTGCGCTCGCCTTCCCCTCTTTGGTCTCTCCTTAATAACTGGGAACCTTCCTGAGTTGGAAGGCCATAGGTTTGCGCTCTGGAGATGTGTTTCAGCTCGGTGTCAGGCCGTTGAATGTCTCAGTGCTCTGTCAGTTTCGAGTTGTGCCCAGTTGTCATCCTTTATGACGGTGTAGCAATACAGCGGTGGACCGAGTCACTTACTTGTATGTCTCATATGCATGTGTCCCTGTCTCATATGCATGTGTCCCTGTCTCATATGCATGTGTCCCTGTCTCATATGCATGTGTCCCTGTCTCATTGCATGTGTCCCTGTCTCATATGCATGTGTCCCTGTCTCATATGCATGTGTCCCTGTCTCATATGCATGTGTCCCTGTCCTTTACACAGAAGTATGCTGTGTGCTATGTGGCCCTCTGTGCAGCGAAACATTCATCACATCCCTGATAACTAACCTCTTCCCACCACTCAATCCGGACATTTTCTATAATGCCGGTGCCGGTGAATTCTTGGGAGACTTATCTCGATCCTTGGGCCACCGTCTGACGTTCACACTTCTCGTGCAAATTAGCACTGGTGCACCGAACGAAGTGATCGTTCCCTTACCAGCAGGTACACTGATTGATGTGCTACGCATCGAAACCGACCTTCCTGGAGTGTCCCCTATCGTTGCTGCCATAGAGGCGCCTATGGTTGATACTGCAGCTGAAATCTCCGTGAGTGGTAGCCATCTGCGGGAAAAGTTTGGATGCATGCGTGTACATAATTATGTGTGTGTATATGTGTGCATGTATGTGCGTGTGTGTGTGTGTGTGTGTGTGTGTGTGTGTGTGTGTGTGTGTGTGTGTTGTGTGTATGTGTGTGTGTGCATGCATCTGTGTATGCATCTGTGTATGTTTGCCCGTGTGTGTATGGGGGGGGGGGTATGGTGTATGGCGATATAAGATGAGTAACTATTAGTAGAATACAACAATCGCTCCTCCTTCTGACAGCTGTTTCACCTACTAAAGGGTTAGGCTCGTCAGAGAAGGTGATGCTGAATAGGATAGTGTAAATGACATGACACATATTTATACACATAGCAATAATGACACAAAGGTGCAAGTGCGAGAAAACTCAATAAGCGTGACATGTAGTGCGACAACATCGCAGTGTCATTATTGCTATGTGAAGAGGTCATGCATTTTTGCTGTTTACAAATATGTATGCAGTATATTATTATGTATGGGCGCAACTCCTTTGTACCGTAGTGTTGAGTTGTATAGTGAGTGGAGGTCGTTGTTTGTTTGTGTGGAATCTGGTTTTGGACGTAGTCGCTGAGGTAAGTTCTCTCAGCTCAGGTGAGTGCTGCACCTTTACTCTACCGACGGTGCACTCTGCATAGTCTCACTCTCTCACGGTTCCGTGTAGTGCATTCAAGTTGTCGCTGGCTTCTGATCGAAAGGACGCCAGTGGCAAGATGCATTGCATCGAATCTAGAGAGAGTCGGTGCATGCCAATGCAGGGTGCACCGTAGGTACGGTAAAGGTGGACCCAGTTAATAATACCCAATACAATCCCGCGCGGGATTGTATTGGGTATTATTTCCCGGTCAGCAAGGCTGCTGATTGGCTGAAACAGGGATTTCGTACCGTACCATGGGAAATCACAAGCACTGCAGCACTCTCCCACTTCGCAGTGATGTATTGTATACAGCCTGTAATCATTACGGTTCGCTAATCATGGTGTCATCACTTAAATGTGGCAGGTCATTGTCGTAATTGGTGATATCCTAGAATTTTGTGTTGCTAGTACTCCTTTCGGTGTGTTCTCGATGCCCAGATTCCCCTGTACACAGGCGACATCATGCGCGTGGGAAGTGTGAACGGCCCTCTGGCCACATTGCAGGAGATCCGTGCTGTTCTGCAGCGCGTGACACGACTGGGTATCCGTATGACCGGATACGTGGCACCTTTCCCGGTAAGGGCTTTAGACCTGGGAGCTGGGTTTGAGCGTTTGCGGACTGCGACTGTTTGGTTGATCCTAATACAAATCATGGATAACAGGAGAGACATACAAGCATGAGTTATGACAAGCGAACTGTGGATTAAATTTGTTTTCCCGTACAGTACCAAGTTTGTCTCTCTTCTCATCCATGATTGATATTGGTTGAAGTACTAGTGTACACTTGATTTAGTTTGGAGTGCGGAAGCTTTGGCTGCGATGCGAGGTGAAGCATTCATGCATTGGGGTTGCCTTATTTTCATCTGTTTTCCCTCAACTATTGAAAGTTTTTTTTAAACAAAATAATTACAATTTTTGACACATTAGAAGCTAAAGATGTGGTGTTCCGGTACAACCTCGGTGGCCAATACCCAATGCAAGCGTGCGTACAGCAGAATGGATAACTTGTGACCTACTTTCTCCTCTGTCCAGGGTCAAAACTTCGGATCGGTCACACTGTTTAATGTGACGCTCGGTAGGGCAGTGCTGAGCAGTGATATGTCACTGCCTGAGGTGCAGAGCGTCGAGGACTGTGCCTGCCCGGCGGCTTACATGGGCCTGAGCTGTGAGCAGTGTCGCGTTGACACGCACACTCGTGACTTTGACCTGCGTGGTCTGACTGGCACCGCTGAGAATGTGTTCGACGTCTGCGTCCCCTGCATGTGCAACTCCCACTCCGTGTCCTGCAGTCAGATCGAGGGAATCTGCAACAACTGCGGCGATAACACAGAAGGTAAGAAGTAGCAATGATGATAACACAGAAGGTAAGAAGTAGCGATGATGATCGCATACACTCAGGTATCTCCTCATGCTTTGTGCTTTTGTGTGTGCACTATGTTGTCACACACAGCTCAGTGAGTTTTCATTCTCCTTGGGCAGCTTGGGGGTCTTCTAGTGTATGTATTGTACAGAGCTCAAGCTGGTCACGGTGCTGTAGTATCGCCATGGGGATGAGTTCTCAGTGTGCCGAACAGATTGTGTGTGTGTATGTGTGTGTATGTGTGTGTGTGTGTGTCACTGTGTGTGTCACTGTGTGTGTCACTGTGTGTGTCACTGTGTGTGTGTGTGTGTGTGTGTGCATGTATGTGTGTGTGTGTGTGTGTGTGTGTGTGTGTGTGTGTGTGTGTGTGTGTGTGTGTGTGTGTGTGTGTGTGTGTGTGCATGTATGTGTGTGTGTGTGTGTGTGTGTGTGTGTGTGTGTGTGTGTGTGTGTGTGTGTGTGTGTGTGTGTGTGTGTGTGTGTGTGTGTGTGTGTGCATGTATGTGTGTGCATGTATGTGTGTACGTGAGTGTAACTTAAGTGCGTTATGGCTAGGGAATGTACATGCATGTGTCGGGGGGGGGGGGGGTGAAGTCCATGCATTGATCCGGTCCCAGGGGGGTGGGGGTGAAGTCCATGCATTGATCCGGTCCCAGGGGGGGGGGGGGTGAAGTCCATGCATTGATCCGGTCCCAGGGGGGGGGGGGGTGAAGTCCATGCATTGATCCGGTCCCGGGGGGGGGGGGGGGGGGGAGGGTGAAGTCCATGCATTGATCCGGTCCCAGGGGGGGGGGGGATGAAGTCCATGCATTGATCCGGTCCCAGGGGGGGGGGGGGGGTGAAGTCCATGCATTGATCAGGTACCATACAGGGTATACTTGTAACATGATCGTGGCAGTGGCTGGATTCTTGTTTCTGAATATGTTGTTTTGTTTTTGGCATGTCTCTGCCGTTCAGGTGATCATTGTGAGAATTGCAGCGACATGTTCTTTGGCGATGCCACGACTTCAGTCACGGCCTGTCAGCCATGTGCCTGTGACATGATCGGATCAGCTAACAATTCCTGTAACCGGGTGAGATTAGAAAAGAGCTACGCGATTATGATGTTGTTTTGGGGAGAGGGAGGGAGGGAGAATGTGCGTGCGTGCATTTGTACGTGTGTGTGTATGCGTGCGTGCCCTCGCACGCGTGTGTATGTGCATGTGTGTGTGTGTGTGTGTGTATGTGTGTGTGTGTGTGTTTGTGTGTTTGTGTGTGTGTGTGTGTGTGTGTGTGTGTTTGTGTGTGTGTTTGTGCATGTGTGTTTGTGCGTGTGTGTATGTGCATGCCAGGAAGAGCAAGAGCGGTGCGAAGATAGCTGTGAGTTATGATCCCCCGTAACCGTGCATGTGAGGCACAACTCATCATCCAGCTCTCACCAGCTACAAATCAGGCATGAAATTCTTTCGTTTTTGCTATTGAATTGCATGTCCGTGTACATGAGAACCTAGTGCCGGTACCTACCCCAGCTGGTATCTCTTAAAAACCAGGCCATGCACTTCTGTATTTAGAAGACACCTGTTGAGCTTGAGACCCAACTGTTCCCCAATCTAGTTTATATGTAGTATGCGACGAGGAAACATCCTATACAGGACATGTATGCCTGGTCCCTTCAATTTACAAACAGCAACTCCGCAACCAGGCCCTTCCTTGCCGTTACTCGGAGTTTCGTATTGCTGGCTCTGCCCGTTGGACACAGAGCGTTATACAGAGAATGCGGGTCTTAGACACGTATATACGAGCCTATGTCGGCGGTCACTGGCCTAGGTTTCCGTGCTCCATACACTACACAGTACATACTACAGTGATGGCAACTGAAATCCGACCCCCCCCCCCCCTACCGTCTCGTACGGATCGCTAACGCGGCTAGCGCACCGCTAGGGGTCGGATTTCAGTTGCCAGCACTGTACATGTGTGTGTGTGTGTGTGTGGCTACTTGGTGACCGTGTCCTATAGGATGCCAGGATACGCCTGGTCATCCGGTGGCTGTGTGCGGGAATAGAGAGGCTCTGCTGTGCAGTAAAACCTGTCAAGGAGACCGTTCTGACAAGGCGCCCACCTGTTTTTTTATTTCTTTTATTTTATTCTATTTTTTACAAAATACACAACTCACCGGCAGGCACATGTCACATGGGGCTAGCATGGGGTGAGATGGTGCTGGTGGGGCTTGCCATGCTCAACCGACCAGAGGTCTCGGCATCTTCGCATGGCAGGCCTGTCCCAGAGAACTAGTACTAGTACAGCAGCGGGACCAGGGGGTGCTTGTCACTTCCAGTTAATGATGTGACCCTGGACGAGGAGACCGCCTGCACACGGGAAGCATACGTTGAAGATGCCGAAAGCAATTTCCTAAAATTGCATGTTTCACTGTGTGTGCGCGTGCTGCGCTTGTGTTTGCTGCTTCTAGATGGATGGCCAGTGCCCGTGTCAGCCAAACATTATCAATCGCCAGTGCACGGAATGTCGCAACACCACGTTTGGCTTCTCAGCAGCTGGATGCATGAGTAAGTCACCAGTGGGCAATTGTGTATTCCCCCTCCTTCCAACCCGGCTAATATTTTGATTTCGAAAAACACGATTCAAGGTCTCTAATTTTGTAATACCAAAACACAAAATAAACTGAACCGTCCACCTCTCCACACTGCACTCTTGGCCCACATTCACTATAACACAATTGGTGAAATTTGAAGCGATTCATTATCAAAAACCAAGAATACAACAAGCACGATCTTGTAGTGGCGGATTCACGATCATGAGAGGGATTCTGTAGCAGTATTCTACAATTGTGGGCTCACCAGAAACCTTGCATTGGTCTAATACGACGTGCATGAGAACTATGGAACTATGGTTACGCTGAGGCAAGAAGAGTGTTTGATTGAAACTAGTGAGTCATAGCTCACGGGGAGACGCCATGAGCGACCGTAGCGTTTTTAAATCACGTGTGTCCGTTACAGTCGGCCTCAGTGACAGTGGGGGGGGGGGGGCAGGGTTGATTATTTTATACACGCCCTGGCATACAACATCGCTTGTCTGGGCCACACGTGGCGGCAGCAAGTCAATGCTGCAATCATGATCGCGATCACGAGTTTAGTAGGCCAAGGACCATGTAGAACGTCCGAATCCAGGGTGGAAACGCACATCGGTTCACATGCCCTGATCTCATGTCGACTAGCTGGTGAACACTAATCAATGTCCCATCCATGCGGGTAAGCACCTCATTGACCCCGCTTGTTCCTCATTCTTCATTCCCGATGATGTGTCCTAAGCGAAGACTAGCCAAGCTTACTTGCTGATGTCAACACAAAAGGCTGATAAAAAAATGTCCCATGCTGCAAGAGGACAGAAAGGGATATATTTTTGACATGTGATATACATAACGTTATTGTCATGTGTACCATATTCTGCTGCTGCTGCCGCTGCAGAATGAGAAAGGATTGGTAAGGACATTTTTTGCCGAGTTGTACATGTGTGTATGTGCCTAGTGGTCACACGGCTGTACTGTAACGATCTGTTATTTCCACACAAGTAATACATGAATACCGCATGGTTGAATGTTGCTGGGCTCCGTTGATTCCTCCCGTTCTCGGTGTGTGTGTGTGTGTGTGTGTGTGTGTGTGTGTGCATGCGCGTGCGTGTGTGTATTTGCATGGCATGGGCATGTCTGCTCATAGGCTGTGGCTGCAACGTCAATGCCACAATGATGAACACGTGTATCGGCGGACAGGACGGCGACTGTATCTGCAGTCAGGTGGATGGACAGTGCGATTGCCAGGACAATGTTGAGGGCCGTACATGTACAGACTGTGCATTCGGCACCTTCGGTAAGCCAACTTCTGGACAGTACATACATACACAGTGGAGGATCCAGGAGGGGTTCCAGGGGTTCTGCGGAACCTCCTAAATTTCGTAAATTTACTACTTGTAACCATATACGTGCCCATGTTCATATATCAGCTATTCCGAGTGGCAGTTTTGACTATACTGTACTGGAACCCCCAGTAGAGATCGCTGGATCCGCCGCTGATACATACATACATGATTGTGTGTGTACGGGGAGGGGGGGGGGTGTGAAGATGCTGTGGCAACAGCTTTGCTCTTATCACCAGAACTGCATGCCATGTGATGAGCTGCACGGACCAAATTCTTTCTTTCCAGGCTCTTCTCAGCTTCCGTACCGTGCTGGCACGTTCTGCAAACTTAGGATGTTGAACTGCATACTCTGCTATTACTGTCTTGAATAACACGTACTCGCACATGTTTTGAATGTAAGTATGATCTTGCACTGAAACGAAGACTTGACTGCAAGCACATAATATTATGTGGTATACTGTAAAAGCAGAAATTTTCGGTGGTGTGTTATTTTCGGTTACTTCGGTGCTGACAATTTTTACCGAAAATAAAACGCACCGAAAATTTCGGTACAACCGATACTGTATACATGTAGTACTAGTACACTTACCTGGAAAACGGGTTTTACCGAAAATTTCCCTCCACCGAACCGCCGATTTTGGAGAACACCGAAAATTTTACACTACCGAAAATTTCTCCTTTTACAGTACAGACCGAGCAACTGACCGCCTGTGAATCACTCGGTCTGATGTTCGTGTACCTGTACTCAATGAGGAGCTCTGTTGTTCGTCAAATGTGTGCCGCTGCGCTTCTCTGCCGCTAGGAATCGCTCCGGCCTGTGTCGTCTGCCACCCATGCTTTGAGCTGTGGTTCGACATAATCCAGCGACTGTCGGTCATGGTCGAGTTCCAGGACAATCGCACGACGGACGCGCTGTTGCGTGCGTTCGGCGGCTTGTCCGCGATGGATATCATGGACCGTCTGAACCAGATCAGAATGAAGCTGGACCAGTCGGAGGCGCGCATCAATGAGCGTGATGACATTGAGCTGGATGGCTTGCTGAGCACCCTGGAGTCGGCTTACCAGACTGTGAGTGTTTCTGAACCATCAACAAACAACCGTGGTATTGACTGTGGATGTTGCACCTAGACGTGATCGGTTGCTGAGAGTGGTGTGCAGCTTACAGCACACCCTGTTTCCTATACACCGTATACACCACACATAACAGAAGTGAAAGGCTGCACGGGGTAACTGTAACTTTAGGTTTCACGAGCACTCTACCTGGAGCTGCCTAGACCGGCCTTGTCTGTGTCTGTGTGTACCGTACACCATGTACTCTACATGCATGCTTGCAAACCCTCCCTGGAAACAAGCCTGTATATCTGTACATGGTGAGATTTTGAAGCTGGGGAAAGAGGGCCGGGGTGGGTGGGGGGGAGGGGGCAGGGCATTGCAGGGCACTGTCTACCCCACGGGATCCTGAGCTACCATTCTTCACAGCATGCACAGACATTCACACGGCAGTCTAATGTATTAGGTGAAGTGAACACTGTGTGTGTGTTTGTAATTTTGCGTGTGTATGTGCACGCGTGTGTGTGCATGTGTGTGTGTGTGTGTATGTACGTGTGTGTGTGTTCGCGCGAGCCCGTGTGTGTGTGTGTGTGTGTGTGTGTGTGTGTGTGTGTGGGTGTGGGTGGGTGTGTGGGTGTGTGGGTGGGTGTGTGTGTGTGTGTGCATGGATGAACATGTATGCATGGTAGGTCTTGGCCAGCTTCACCTCGGCCAGCACGGACATTGACCAGGTTGAGGAGTCTCTGAACTTCTCGCTGTCGCGTCTGCCGTTCATTGAGAACTTCACCGGTGCGGTGACCGTGTTTGACGGCACGGTTATCACGGCTGAAGAGCTTGATCAGCTGAGTCGTGTACAGAACATGATGGTAAGAGAATGCCTGCTTGCAATACCACCATGCTCTCTCTCTCTCTCTCTCTCTCTCTCTCTCTCTCTATCTATCTATCTCTCTCTCCCTCTCTCTCTCTCTCTCTCTCTCTCTCTCTCTCTCTCTCTCTCTCTCTCTCTCTCTCTCTCTCTCTCTCTCTCTCTCTCTCTCTCTCTCTCTCTCTCTCTCTCTCTCTCTCTCTCTCTCTCTCTCTCTCTCTCTCTCTCTCTCTCTCTCTCTCTCTCTCTCTCTCTCTCTCTCTCTCTCTCTCTCTCTCTCTCTGCACTCTACTGTACATGTGTGCATTGCCGTGTGTTTGCCACTCAGACTCTTGCAGCTACTAGTACATGTTTGACAGTGTATGGGAGAGGAGGGTATATGATCATATCATCTGTTGAAAAAAGGTGGGGGGGGGGGCTTGTCAACTCCATCTGTACATGTGCTAAAATATGGATTGGCATGACGACAGGCACTGATTTTGCCACTCCATGCTAGCAAGTATGATGACATCATTGGTGTACTGGGGTTGACGAGTATGTCTCTAACCTCAGATAGCCTCCTTAGGATGAGCTAAAAGTATTGCATGTACACGTTCCGTTCTGATATGGGCCTTTCACTGCCAGCCTTGTATACCCTAACGTTACTCAATCTGCGGACAGAACTGTTTCGTCCTTTGTGGACTCATCACCACAGCACAGAGAAAATGAGGCCAAACCTGATAGTAATGGAAAATAAATTTTCCAATTTTCCCTAACGTTACGTGCAAAGTACCTTTCATACTCATGTTTATTCACACTGAGCAGTCTGTGGGTGGGCGACTGGATTCGCCTAGCCATGGCTAGGTACCCTTCAAACAGGCCATTCCATAGTCACGTGACACGGTGCAGGTATAACGCAGGATTTTTTTGATAAGACGATGACATGTTGAGACCTGAGAAAAACATTGCATTATGATTCACAGAGCTGGCCTGCAAATGTCCTGCTCGAAACTCCTCTGTTTTCTCAAAAATCCGCAAGTTGAGGGAATGGAAAAGGAAAATTCTGAAAAAGAACAATGGCTATCACCACCAGGACTGGAACCAGTGACCTTCGCTTGAGGTCAGCAATGCTCCTAGCCACTGAGCGGCTATCTCGAAATTGCCTCTGTTTCTGTGCGGCGTGTGTTGCCAGGCTATCAACGTCACCAGCACTGCTAACAGGGAGAACATGCTGCTGCAGGATGTGGCCGCTCAGGCCAATGTGTCCGTGCAGTCGGCACGCGAGAGCCAGCGCATCGTAGCTGCTGCCCTGGCCAGCGCCCAGAGCACACTGGCCGGTGTTCCTGGCCTGGAAGCGCTGCACGCAGAGTACCGCGCTCTGTACCAGGCAAACGAAGCCTACATCGGCATGAGCACAACGGCGGTGGAGAACCTGGAGGCATACTCCATGAATGCTACCAGGTAACAATATGCAGTCAGACCACACACACATACGCACACATACATGTGCTATTTCCAGTCAAATGACCCTGAATAAGTAGACCACCTGGTATCAGAGACCACATTTTGAAGGTCCCTTCAACGGAGTGGTCGTCTTAGACAGGTTTCACTGTAAACACAATGGATGGAAGTGCAACACAAATGCAAACCGAGAATATGTATTTTAAGCCTCAAGGTACTGTGTTTGGTTGATGTGTGATATTCCTCACTAGTATCATCACGATGGCCTATCAAGTTGTGACCGCAGCCAATTCCACCGCCTACATGGCCAGAGTGCAGGCTGCAAGTCGCCTGGTCGAGGCACAGCAGCTCGCCGCCAACGTATTGAGCATAGCCATTCTGGCCAACGCCACGTACGAGAGCGCCGCCAACGGTTCACGTGCTGCCAGCGCCGTGCAGGTGAGATAGATATAAAAATGAGAGAGAAAGAAAGAAAATGGATCTATTGTGCACGAAACTGGTGGATAAAACCCCGTCAGGACTGCGTTCTGAGGGCAGCGACGTAGACATGTTTAAACAATGTACATGTATGACTAATCACGGCCCCGTGACCAGTCCAACAGTCACAAATCCCCGAAGAGCAGTCACAGAGTCACACGCCGGTTTGTACCCAGATGACCAGTCACAAACCGCCGCGATTTTTGACGCTGTAATCCCCACCCCGTCCCAGTTGGTAGCTAACAAGGCAGTATGTTTGTAGCTGGCAGTGGAATCGTTTTTAAGTGAGAGAGAAGGAAAGACTGAAAGAGAATATTGACTGTACAGGACGATGGGCCTGCTCAGCTCAAGCTACAGCATTACTTTGATCAGCTGTACTCCATGAGTCCATGAGTCCATGGGCAGCAGCAGGAAAGTATACACTGTACTTGGTATCCGAGGTGCACGTACAGTCATGTACTTCTTATCCACATGTACTTCTTATCCACATGTACTTCTTATCCACATGTACTTCTTATCCACATGTACTTCTTATCCACATGTACTTCTTATCCACATGTACTTCAATCCTGTTTAATACACCCGTGCTCTAGGCAATGTCCGTGCTAAGCAAGAATATGATTGTGTTATCATAGTATGTACAGAGTGAGCTCCAATGTACTGTCGTGGCCGTGACATGGAAATCCGGTCGAATGACCGAGGCCGGTACCCTCAGTGCGTACAGAACGTTGCATGCACGGTGCACAAGTCATGTTGATCGCATGCGAACTCACGGCTGCATGGTCAGTGCACTGGGGCCGCTTGACCTCCGACTGGATTTCCATGTCCACGACAGTACATTGTATTTGCTTTACGTTGATTCTAGCAGGCATCGATCCCCGAATTGCCTGAATGCACTGACTCAACCGATGGTATGATGTCATTATGATGTCACTATGATGTCACTATGATGTCATTGTGCTCATAGCCCACACACCTGGAAACTGCAGGGACCATGTTTGACCCAAGCCATGTTGGTACATCCTGTATGTCTTGTTGTGTTCGTTTGCGTAGGCCGCAGCCTTCGACGCCTATCAGCGCGCCAACACCAACTTGAACGAGCTGGCCAGCATCAATGCCACCTTGCAGGGCGCGTACATGAGCCTGCAGCAGGCCCGGGACGCTGCACAGGCCGTGCGTGACCTGCAAACGCCCACCGTGGACGACGTGGAGCTGGTGCGCAACCTGAGCGAGCAGATCAACGCCAGCATCGTGCCGCAGAGCGAGATCGACCGTGTCCTGGCCGACGCTCGAGATGCTCTGATGCAGGCCGAGGAAATCCTCGCTGTGGTCCAAGCCGCATAGTAAGTGTTTCAAATTGTACACGCATGGTGCGGTAACACATGCATGGATTAAGAGTGTATCCACCCAGTATCTACAGTCAAAGGTAGGGGTGGGGGAGGGGATAACAATTATCTTTCTTTTCACGTTATCCAATCTGGATGGCCACCAAATACTGGAACAATGATTTTCATCTGGGGGGGGGGGGGGGCGTCACTCCTACTGTCTCCCACAGCGGACGTTTGAGTCCTGGAGAGATTCCACAGTGAATGTGGTTTTTTACGCTGCACTCAATACATGGGCTCCCAGGAGGGCAGGGGAGCTTTTGGAGGTTACCATGCCGTGTGTTGCAGGATCCCCTTGGAGCTTCCTGTATCGTGTGCTGTAGTCGACCTTGCCGTATTGTGTGTTGGGGGGGGGGGGGGAGATAATAATCTTAAAGCAGCCAACGAAAGGAATAGGAACTCATTATCTCCTAGTGGACAGAATTAAAGGGGAAGTTAAGGCAACAATTAAAATTTCACCAGTTGTAGTCTTCGGGGTGCTGAGTCGAATGGTCTTGGTCCGAGAAAGCTGAGATGCTCCCTTCCTACTTGAATCCCAATCGAACTCGCGCACTTCCACCGAAACTGGGTGACTGCGCCCTACTAGATGGGGATTTGTATGCAAAATGTCACTAAAAGCGCCAGTTCGTTCTTATAAAAGCATGGATGACCGCGATTGGCCCATATGTTGTGCTCTTTTGGACGCTGAGTCGACTGGTTTTGGTCCGAAAAGGCTGGGATGCAGCGTTCCTCCTTTATTCCCAATCGAACATGGTTGAACAAGCGGTCACGTGCTCCTGGGTGCCGAAATCACCTGGTCACCACACCAGCAGGCGACAACTTTCACACCAAGGTTCAACTCGAGTGACAGGACTGCATACATAATGGGATTCAGTAAGGAATCACTAGTCTAAATAGATGCAGGTTAAACTCTTGTATAAAGGGATTGTAGAACTAATCACACCTGTGCTTCCGACAGCAGAGGGGCAATGACTGAAGTCTAAATTTTAGCTATTAGGTGTACTTCTACTATACTGACAACTCTTCATTATGGTGTCTTGGTGCCTTGCCGTGTGTGTGTGTGTATGTGTGCATGTGTATACGTGTGTACGTGCATGTGCATGTGTACGTGTGTGTATGTGAGTGTGTGTGTGTGTGTGTGTGCGTGTGTGCGTGTGTGCGTGCGCGTGCATCATGTGCTGGTCCACAGCAACACGAGTCAAATTGCCTACGACATGGTGGCCGAGATCCAGACCGTGCTGCAGCAGGTTACCATGTACACTGAAAACGTCAATGAGTACATCAACCGTGCTCGCACCTACATCCAGCAAGCCAACGATACACTGCAGCAGGTTAGTGCGTTCACCGGCCCAGACTTGGGATATCTGAATAACTCCGGCATTGCTTGTAGTGTGTGTCAAGTCTGCTCCGAGCCCACCATCAGGATTCATGCACTGAAAATTAAAAATTGTTATTTTCTCTTTCTTGCCATCGTTGTTCCTCTCTCTCTCTCTCTCTTGACGGGTACATTGAGTATATTATTTACTTGAACTGTAGCATTTGCTGAAAGCTAACCGGTGTTGATCCTGGATGTGGTGACGTTCCTGCGGATGCAGAAAACGGTCTCCAGCCGGGTCTCACGCGAACCGTGAATTTTTTTGTTTAAAACCGGTGTTGGTGTCGACTGCTGCAATAACAATCTGTTCTCTGTCTCAGACGCGCCAAGCAGCGTATGATTTAGTGAGCCTGACAAACGAGCTCCGCGATGTGGTGAACAACGAGGCCCGACCCGACCTGGAAGCCACTCTCACCTGCCAGTCTGCTGTGACCAATGTGTTGCAAGAGGCGCTCGCCACGGCTACAAGGCTGTGCTCCATCGAAGGGCCAATCCTGCAGTCGGTACGTGTGTATGGGGTGGCAGTAGTAGTAGTACGAGTAGTGCTTGGGTTGTGGCAGAGGGTGGTGTTCTCATGGTGTCTGCATTCTCCAGGGTTGGGGGGTTGGGGGTTAGCCGGCTACAGCTCTGTCGTGCACCACCTTCTGACCCGGGTAATCCACCTTGATTGATTCCCGACTTTGGATTAGTGTAGGTGAATAAAACGCACATGCAGACCAAAAGAACCCGGGTCAGTGTATACCCCGGTCAATTTCTTTCAACCCGGGCCGGAGCCAGGTCCACGCACCCTCTCAAAAGGGTCCACACACCCTCTCAACCGGGTCCACACACCCTCTCAACAGGGTCCACACACCCTCTCAACGGGGTCCACACACCCTCCCAACAGGGTCCACACACCCTCTCAACACGGTCCACACACCCTCTCAAGTCTCAATAGGGTCCACACACCCTCCCAACAGGGTCCACACACCCTCTCAGCAGGGTCCAAACACCCTCTCAATCTCACTACTGCATCATAGGCACACAAGTGCCCCAAGCTGCACTTCATTCAAGTTTCCTCTGCATTTTCGCTGCAAGGCTTCCAGCCCTGAGCACTAGTTCAACAGTTGCCAGCACCTTCGACTCTACTGCAATGGATTATGCATCTCGAGACCACTAGGTCGGGGGAGGTTGACCTACCTCATCGGCACGCATGCCAGGCTCATCTGTGTTGTCAATGTTCGCTTGTCCAATTTTGTCTACCTCCCCTTTTAATGGGCTTTTATGTTGCTGGCCAGTGCTTTGTAGTAAAAAATAAAATAAAATAAATATGACGTCAAGTTGTACTTGAAGTATTTGTCATGTGATCAGCATCAACAACACAACACAATGTACAGTTGCGCTCAGTGAAAGCTGACCCAGAGTGCATATGTAGTAGCGCCATCAGCTTGCACAGCCCTGGAAGTGGCACGAATGCGGCTGGACGTACACAAGCACAGCTACAGTGATGTAATGGGAACTGGACCAGGGACCAGGGCACCAGCTTTGCACGTTGGGTCGGATTTCCAAGTCACCGAGCACAACTGTACAATTACATGCGCACACAGTCCTCCCATGTCCGCACCCCTCAAAACCAGGCATCCATTTTAGTCTGCCGAGTAGAAGCAGTGCTGCTATACACGCAGTCCACGCGTGTGCGGTACATTATTCTTTGGGTAGTGTCTGCCTGTACATGTGTGAGTGATTTCACAATGTCTATGCCTATCCAGTGGTCTGCGGGGTTTTTTGGCTCACGTTCTTAAATCGGTGCATACTAGTAGATGGCTGGTTAAGAGAGTGTTAATTGAGTGTACTGTACCAGTATCTAAAACACTTGCTGTAATCTCTGGTTGCAATCACAACTGGCTTGCAGGAGGTGGAGTCGGCAGAGGCCAACGTCGCAGCGCTGCAAGCCCAGGCCACGGCGCGCTACAGCGAGGTTGCCAGCACACAAGACCTGGTGGTCAACGCCACGCAGGCTGCTGACAACGTGCGCGCAGCACTCGATGCCCGCCCCAGCGCCAGTGCTGTCACCGGTAAGCATGTCTAGCCAGTCCCAGGGGGTGTCGGAAGGTGGTTTAGTGTGGTACGGTCAGCCACCTGAAGTACAATTTACTTGTGGGATTGGGGTGGCTCCTCTGAAAATGTTCAGCTCAAATCAGTGGCTTTTATTAATGCACAGGGTAGCAGAGGCAAAGAGTGGCACGGTCAATACCGTAGTGACCGTAGCGTGTCCGACACCCCCGAGTCCTGTGATTGATACTCTTGCTAGTCTGGCTGCTCTTGCTGCACAGTTTATGCACACCGGCATTGACAGTATCAGCTGCGTGTGGCCTCATTTTCTCTGTGCTGCGCTGATGAGTCGACGAAGGACGACACGGCTCCGTCTTGCTTTCGATAGCAGTTCGCAGATTGAGTAGAAGAAATAGAAAAAAGTGGCAGCCAGACTAATCCGAAAAAGTGACAATCTCCCTTCACACTATGGCATGTACTAGGGGAGCTGAGGGCTTGGCTGTGGACAGTGCCTTTATTCAAATCAGCGTACTAAACTGCCGGTTGGTCCATGACAAGGCCGCGGATGAAAGCAGAGCGTACATGCACAGGAAGATATAATACTTACATTCTTCGTCTTTTTGTGAGAGCTTGGACAATCCACTTGTCCAGGCAAGAAGGCAGCAATGCCTGTTCATTCTGGCGAAGTAAAATAAAATATACCAACCAACCAACCTACATGAATGTGTGAGTGTTGGACACAAACAAAGGATAACTTGTAAGCCTTCGGTCCTTCTTTTTTCTCTCAAATCCATGGCTCTCAATCCAAGTCTTATGAATACGGTTGTTTTCCTTTCGGACGCCCCCTTACAGCCGGATATACCGTACATGATGATGTACATGTATGTAAAAATATTTCTTGGCTTTGGCTGTGTGATTCTAGCTACATCACTGTGCATTCTTGGGCAACACTTTCTTGAGACCTGGCTTTCCGGCAGACGAGCATTTCACTGTGCCGTGACTCTCGCCTGACTACACACCAAATAATCTATTTCTGTGTTCTTGTTTCCTTCTTTCCCTTTTCACCATAGCCCTTCTGACCGAGTACATACAGCTGCAGATGGAGATCCAGTCATCGCAGACACGCGCAGTCATGTTTGAATCTCAGCTGGATAGCATCGTTGCCGCCTTTGAGCAATTGTCGCTGCGGTGTCCGGCATAGAGTTAGTCGCTTGGCCGTTGATCCCCGTCTCTTGCCGAATTCTCGAGGCTGCTTGCTGCGATGTTGCCAGTACGTGCGCAATGCCTCTACTGTGTGTGCGTGTGCGAGAAGTTAGGTAGGTGATCGCACGATACACGCTCTCTACGAACCACCTCTCTAACTCTGGCTTGGCAGTAAATTCGTAGTGGGGATTGTATTATGACCGTAATATTTTTGGGAGGTACGGTTGTTGATGCTACCTGGCTTCTGTATCACAGGATAACTTTGCAAGCACCACCGTCGTATACCTATACTAGTGCAGGCACTTGCATCGCGTTCTCTCGTCTTCTCACAGCTTCCTTCTCCTCCCCTGCTCATCATAACAGTATGCATGAACTGTAATCTTAAAGCACATTTCTCCCTTGCACGTATTTCCGTAGATAAAGTTAGTGTCCAACGGCAAGATAAGGATTAAGATTGCATTCGTGACGCGGTCGGCGGCTACCTTCCGTTGGCATGGCACCCCTGACTAGGCAGTACATGCACTGTCTGTGATGGTTGTGAGTAGTAAGTTGGCCGTGGCTCTTTCCCAGTAGTTTGCTATGGTGCGGTTTCTGCGAGTGTCTTTTCTTGCAGCGGCAGCCAATTCCCAAGGCCTGCTTGATTGTTTTCTCACAAAATCTTCTAATTTTGATATTGTCAGCAGACCCTGATGACTGTTTGGTAGCTCATGCAAGCAAGTGCCACCATCGTGTGGTGATGCTGCTAATAACGTTGTTGTTGTCGAGACTGATGATAAGCTAGGTCCGCACGTTCCACTTTTCTTTATAACCTGCATGCAGTAGCAACCATGTGGCTCTGGCTCACTTTCCTGTGTGAAAAAGAACCTGCCTTCATTCATAGACATGTGTAAGATAACTGGGCCTTATGTAGTAGCACGCCGGTCACATCAAGATGCGGGCTGGTGCTGGTGAAGGGTTCGTCAACAATCTAGCCCTCCTCAACCTTGCCGTGCACTTCGGTCAACATGTGGTAGTAGTAGGTGTGTTCAAACGAGATGAAACACGGCTACATTTTGAATTTAATTTAAAAGAGGCAATGGATGAACAATGTGTACGCTCATATCACAGACAATATGACTGTATGAGTAACCAAAGTTGCGTTCCGGAGCACGTACCTAACCTTGTTGTACTCACTGCTTTATTACGAGTAGTGCCCCCGACGACGCCTTTTCAACATATGATATGGAAAAACAAAACAAGGAAAAGATTGATGGCTAGAAGTACGGACTTGGATGGAGAGCCAAAGGATAAATTTATAGTAAAGAAAATGTGTAGCTTCTTGGTCCTTTTTTCTTCTTCTTTTCTTTCTTTGCTATAAATTGGCTAGAAGTACGAGTAGCATAAATCAGCCAGTGCTGGCCACCATGCAGGCACGGCTACCAACTTGGCAAGAGCAGTGTTATGGTGTATCCAGGTTATGCGAAGGGTTTTGTTGGGCGAGTCTGCGGAACCGCGAATGGGCGCTCAGTATACAGCCTGAGTCGGCGGACTCGCTAATGGGCGATATCTCTTTGTAGCGTTAGTCGCTAGTGCAAGTGCAGTGCTGTGCCGCAACTAACTTCGCCAAAGCATCTCAAGTGATGATGTAATCGCATAACCTCGATACTTTAGACATAGCAGCAAGGGTATAAGTATACTCTTGATACAGTAGAGTCGCGCACTGAAGAACATAGAGCCCAAGAACGTCCAGCCTGAAATTCTAAGAACGCCACAGCCTAAACTTTAAGCTAAGAACCATGAGAACGGCGGTGTTGGTTTTCTGGCAGCTTGTGGGATACATATGATCCAGTACGGATTGTTTCTACAAGTAAGAACGTGCTATAAGAACGCAGCCAGCTTGCTGAGAAATAAGAACTTCTCAGGCGAACCCCTTGGAAACAAAGTTCTTGGGCGTGCGACTCTACCGTAGCAGTTACATGTAGCACCCATAATATTATATTTATAGTGGTTGCAGAATTCCGCTGACTCATCATTAGGAATAGGATCAGTTCTTTCACATAACTAGCATGCATGTGCGCTAGTGAGTGGCCGGACTGCACAGCATGTATGTAATCAAGCACGCCCAGGAGGTCATGATGGCTGAATCTTGCCCGAGCCTGCAGCCCGAGGGCTGCAGGCAAGGGCAAGATTCAGCCATCATGACAGAGCGTGCTTGATTTGATTTCTTACATCGCGAAGCAACATATTAGGGATGGTTAGAGGTCGAAAGATCGAAGGTCGAAAAATTATTCTCGAAATGACGTCAAACAGTCCTGACATTCCCGACATGACGTCAAATGGTCCTGAAACTCCCGAAATGACGTCAAACGGTCCGGATGCCCTGATTATTCCCGCGGTGGGAAGATCGCCTATTGGCCATGGCCCCGGCAACGATCACGTGTCATGTAAGGAAGAGGCATAACGCTCACCAGGCTAGACACTAATAATGATTATGTCTGAAAGTGCTATGTTGTTGTATGGGAACGGGAGAATAGTCTAGTCAGGCTGGAGAAGTGAACTGCGAGAAAAGCGAAAATGCCAACCCCACCAGGGCTAGCTGCTCAAACCCGGGTCCTTTGTTGTCGTGGGCAATGCTCTAACCATCTGAGCCATGAGACCAGACCGAACCTAGGAGAAGGCGCTAGCAAATGTTTCGCTCCACACAGGTGACTACCCTGGGGGGGGGGGGGGGGCACCAACCTCTACGGCTGGTACTAGTCACTCACTGACAATGTCTGGAACCTACATGTAGTACTTGTAGTAGTAGTAGCAGTGCTATACTGTACTGTACATGTAGACCTACCAGAGGTGAACTGTTACTTTGAGAAAGCGGTGGGACTACAAGTAGGAGCAATGCGGCACTGGACAAGCAGAAGCAAGGTCCCGGGTTCGAGTCCTGGTTGGCATGTTCCTGGCAGCCTTCACTTCCCTGACTGTTTGCATGGGTAATCATGCCAATAGCAGGAATGCGCAGCACTCTGCCATGTCATGGGAAGCACAATTCGTTAGAATAATGCAGGCGCGTGCCCCGTATGGGTTCCTGGGTGCCCGGAACCCCCCTTGGCCTTGAAGGGCACCGGCGCACGCGCCTGAAATGCGTAGAAGATACACAGCTGCGCAGTGCAGTGACAGCATTACAGTCGACTCCACTTATAACGAACTCGCATAATTATAGCGAATTTCGTGATATAGCGAACCCTTGTCCAGGTCCCTGTTTGAACCCATACAAAATTGACCCTTTATAGCGAACAGTTTTCGGTCATAACGAACCAAATCTTGTAGGCCCACATGTAAACCAAGTGCACTCACACTGTCATGGGCCACTTGCCAGTCATGACTTGCTGCTTGCTTGCGTAGTGTGAGTGCATTTCTGTTATAACGAACTTCGGCTATAAAGAACTAATTCTCCTGCACAATGGTGTTCGTTATACTAGTATCAGGAGTCGACTGTATTTTCATCTTTCGACAGCCAATATTCATGATATTGGCACTAATAAAAGTACATGGCACTGAAAGCCTCAAAATAAACTGACGGTAGCACTCACGATCACACACACTCAGTCTCTGCGCGTCCATGTCCATGTCCGTGGCGCATCATGGTGACTGGTGAGGCAATAAACCGAAATAATTGGCGTAGACCGCAGTGTGCCGCTGTGGACGTACATGTAGACCAGGCTCGCGACACCAGAGCCAGCTAGAGACCTGCGCTGCCGCCATTGCCATTGGAATTATCTTTGTTGTGGACAGGGGCAGTGGACAGTGGTATGGTGTTGACCACAATGTCACACAATAATAATAGAATTAGAAAAGCTGACAGGATACATCAGTAGATCACTGCATGCACTCACGAACTCACTGCATGCGCGCCATGGCAATGATTCAAAACCAGCACCAGAACAACAAGGCCTGACACGTGGGTGTAACACGTGGTAAGATTTCCATTTTTCGAGTGAGTATAGCGCCGCCATGGCCATCTTGCTCATTGATTCTCGCACTTGTCTGGCTTGATCAGCTCCGGAGCTCGTAAACTAAAAACAGTGAGTTCGACAAGCTTCCCAAATGCGCTAGCTCCATTATTTTATGACCCAGGCCAGCTAGCTCGCAGCATTCGCCTCGCGACTTGTACAAAATAATTGCCAGCTTCTCAAAGAAACGCACATGGACAAATTCCAGATAACGTTCTGTTTATAAGTTGGCTGCTCCAGTTCGGCTTTGCAAGAAGGTCGCTTATCTAGGTCTCCAGAAGCCTTGACATACTCTGGCAGCACGGAAGAGAGGAGTAGTCTAGGTTTAGGACAGTACGCCACAAGCTCCGTCTTGTCGTGAAGACTTTTCTTCACTTTTCTCTGACCCATTTCTCTGACCCATATTTTAATTTGTAAACATGATTGGTCAGAGTAAATCCGTACTTGTTACATCGGCGGAAAGCACCCAGGCATTTTATTGCCAGGTGAGCCCCAACCCGAAGCTGGACACGTTGATGTCCTTGCTGCGGGAAGCCGTGCTCAGCCTTGTTCCGGGCACTTTCAAGGCCGGTGACATTTGCTGTGCTCAGTTCACTGAAGACCAGGAGTGGTATCGGGCCCGGGTTGTGGCTGTGACAGGCGATGCAGCGGATGTTCTGTACTTGGACTATGGAAACTCAGAGACGGTGCCGCTTTCCGGCTTGCGTGCTCTGCCGGCCAAGCTAATGAAGCTTGCGCCTCAAGCAAAACTCTGCAGTCTGGCACGTGGTGAAGACGACGATGAGTGGCCTGAGACGGCGGAAGTCCAACAGGCGTTCCTTGACCATGTTTTGTCCGGTGAAGGTGAAGTGACAATGCTAGAATTGGACCAAGCCGGTTTGGACGGTGTCACACCAGTACAAGTTTGGGTCAATGGCAGTGACATTGCTGCAGAACTCGGCAATGTATTGTCCAATGCGGCACCGCCGCAGGTGAACGGCCACAGCCATCCACCAGCAGCAGCAGTGACGACAGCGTCCATTCCGGCGATAAAACTGACCACTGGTAGCATTCTCCAAGTGTCGATAGCGCATGTTGAATCCATGACTCGCTTCAGCTGCCAACTCATGGGCACACGTAGCCGCTTTGAGGAGCTGGAAGTGAACCTTTACAGGCTCTACAACAAGCCGGTTGATATCTGTGTACTGAATGCCAGCCAGATTACAGCCGGCACTCTATGCTGTGTGCACAGCGACATGTACTCCTGGTGCAGAGCGCGCGTTGAGAAAGTCCGCGGTGAGTCTGTTGACGTGGTGCTGGTCGACTATGGCAGCCCTGAGACGGTTCAGAAGAGCGGATGCTGGGAGCTGTGCGCGGCCGTGTGCGACATTGAAGCACAGTGCTTCGTCGCTAGTTTGTCATGTGGTGATAATGGCTGCAGCGACGACCTTAAGACGCCTGTCTTCAAGAGCCTGGTCACCGATGGCAAGAAGTTGCAGGCCACAATATTGTCCTTGCCTGCTTCCACCGACCACAACCAATCCATTGTGGTGAACCTGCAGGATGAGAAGAAGGCCTATATTTCTGATTTGCTCAAGCGTACATGCTCTGCTAACGACAGTCGCCAGGTCGTCTCCATTGGTGTGGAACAGATTCCTCTCGCCACAGTTGTCGATAAGCAAACATATGAGGTGGTAGTTGTGCTCGACGACCCATCAGAGCCTAATCTCTTCCAGTGCCAACTAGTTGAGAACGCTGTGCCATTTGAGGAAGTTCAGAGGAAGCTGACGGAAGTGCCCGCACCTGCCCTGAGCCGCATCGAGCCAGGCCAGCTCTGTATAGGGTGCAGTTCACAAGATAAAGTGCCGTATCGCGCTATGATTGAATCGGAGTCTGATGGCACGTGTCAGATCGTGTTCCTCGACTTTGGAGACAGGGAAAGCATACCCGCGGAGTTTTTGCGTGAACTTCCTCCTGATCTCTGTAAGTACCCGCGCCAGGCAATCCCAGCGATGATTCACTCGTCAAGCGCAGTTCAGCCGGCCGATCTAAGAGGCTGTGATGACCATGTTGTGTTTAGTGCTGTGTTTGCTAAAAGAGCTGATGGCCGCTACGATGTTCGCTTATCGAGCTCGCCTCACCAACCCGCCATTGACTCTAGCAAGGCTACTGCATCAGCTGCTCCTGAATCTGGCACGCATCCTGCCAGCACTGTCGCTGTCACCAACACCGCTGCGGCTCCTGCTACTGCTGCTGCTGCTACTGCGCCAGCCCCGGTGCAGTGGATGACTGCTGGCTGCAAGCTTGGCAAGGCTGCTGCTTTCACTGCCGGGGCAGTGTGTGCTGTTGCGCATGCCGACTCTCCAGATGCCATGTGGCTGCAGCTGATGACCGGTCAGGAGCAGCTGGAAACGCTCCAGGCCTCTCTGTATGACTATTATAATAATGCGGATAACGCCAAGGCGACAGCTATCACTGCCAAGGACATGGTCAATGGTTTGATCTGCTGTGCCCAGTTTGCTGAGGATGGGGCCTGGTATCGGGCTGTTGTTCTTGAATCGTCCAACGCGGCGGGGGCGGCTGGTGAAGTCCGGGTTCGTTACATCGACTACGGTAATGTAGCAACAGTGTCTACTTCGGTTGTGCACTACTTGATGTTGAGCTTCCGTGAGCAATCCATCTTTGCCACCGTTTGCAGCTACTCCCAACTCTCGCCTGCCCCACAGAACCGATGGACGGACGAGTCGCGGGTGATGTTCAGCAATGCCATTATCGGCCAGGGTGAAGTCGTGCTGAAGACTGTCGAGGAGCGGCCAGGCTTGGGCACACAGGTCAGCTTTACTGACGACTACTGTGTTCAGCAACTGGTTTCTGCCAATTTGGCACGCTTTCCCACGGCGCCTGCTGTCAAGCACCTGAATGGCACCTCACCCGTAGCAGCTGCTAAGCCTGTACCGTCCTCTGCATCACGGACCAATTCTCCTGCTGCCAGGGCTAACGCGACCGCATCCAGTCCGACCGCTAGGAAGGGGGTTGCGTACTTGACCTGGCCGAAGGGTTCCGTTCAACTCGTTACCATGTGTGCTGTTGAGTCGCCGACCAGCTTCTGGGTGCAGAATGATGCATCGCTCCAGGGGTTGCACAATCTAGTGGATATTCTCATTCAGGACGTCAAAGCTGGCAACGGCCCGGCGAAGCAGATACAAGTCGGCGCACACTATGTGCTCAGGCAGTCGGCAAAGAAGTATGCACGCTGCTCATGCGAGGAGGTAAATGCTGGCTCCGTGAAAGTGCATCTCTACGATTACGGCCACTGCGAGTCTGTCCCGGAGAGCAGCCTGTACCCTTGGTCATCGTTCTACGGTACTCTGCTGCCTCGTATTGCAGTCCACTGCTCCCTATCAGCAGCCATTCGTCCGGACGGCGGCTTCCCAGCAGAGACCACCGATCGTCTGAAGGCGCTGATGAAGAGAGATCACGTCCAGGTGAAGGTTGTTGGTGGTAGCACCCAGGACTTGCTCGAGGTGAGGGTTTTCCAGCATGGCATTGACCTAAGCACAGAGCTGTTGACCGGCAAGGCTGCCGATGTACCCATTCCTACTACGCCGGTGCCTGCAGCAAGGCCTGTGTTTCCCGTCGTCGGTGGCCGCCCCGCTGCTGCACGTGAAAACCGCACTCCATCCGTATCGGCTAAGCGCCCTCCATCCACGTCGGCTCAACGCCAGCAAGCCAGTCCACCAAGTTTGTCAAGTTTGTCCTTGAGCGAGAAAACTACTCCCACCCGACCGCGCAGTAATTCACCTGTCGTCGCCGCCTCGCCCGCATTCAACGCGGCACAGTGTCAGCTTAAATCTCGACAAGCCTCCGACGCCGGTAAATCTCCTGAACCTGCTGTGGTCAACCGAGGCGCATCACCTGTATTGCCTGTATCGCCACAGCGTCCAGCTGTTCCCGCACTGACAGCAGTATCGCCTCTTCCCAAGCCCAAACAGATGGCGACGAGCGGGCAGCCATCCTTCCCGCGTTTGTCCACGCAGGCTGGTAATTGTCATAAAGTTCGATACGTTTGTCATGACGAGGACACGGGCACTACCCGCTATTGGTGTCAGTTGGCCGAGAATGACCAGCAGCTGGAGAAAATCGCAGCCAGCATCACAACACTGCCCGAAGATTCGTTCATGTCCATCGAGTCGGCTGTAGTCGGCACGGTGTGCTGTGCTCCCTCGTCGGACGGCGAGTGGTACCGCGCTTGCGTGGAGAGCATCTCTGCTGGTCAGTCGGCCACTGTCCGCTTTGTCGATTACGGCAATGCGGAAGTAGTCGAGAGTCTCGGCGAATTGAACGCCGATTTGCTGTCGTTCCCTGTCCAGGCGGTGGCCTGCAAGCTAGCCACTCCGTCGCCGGCACTTATCGATGCTGGTGACGCAGGCATGTCTGTGCAGTTTGTCGAAGAGTGTGGTGGTATGTGGACGGTCAACCTTGATCAGAACAGCGCCGCTGCTGCTGACACTGCTGCCACTGCTCCAGTAACAGCAGTGTCGACTACAGGTTAGTTGTGTCTATGTGTCTCGTGTGCTTTCGAAACTTTCAATGCATGTCACCCGTATCCATTCCCTCCACATTGGTCGTGTGGGGTATCGGTCCCTAGTTCGTAACTAGGAGAAGTTCTATAGACCCCTCCAAACTCGTCGAGCACAAATGTGTTACGCGTGCTCACGGCGGGACTCCAACCAATTCCTCGTTCGCGTTGCCGTGTCGCGGCTGGCCAATGGTCTGAATATTCTACTGCCAGCACTGGCCTGCCTGCTGTGTATCACATGGTTCTATAGTTCTAGCCGTAGACAAAGTGTCTGTGGTATACATGAAAGCATCTATCTCCCTTCACAAACAACGGTACGCACTCTAGTGCCTTTACGTGAGTTTGCAAATTTACTGTAGCGGACATGGAAATCCAGTCGATTGCCCGGGGCCGGCACCCTCAGCGCGTACAGAAAGCTGCGTGCAGTGCACAAGTCATGTTGATCCGATGCGACCAGCGTGCTGCAGCGCATAAATGCGTGTGTGTACCGCTTCTCCACGGCTGCATGGCCAGCGCCCTGGGGCCGCTAGACGTGCGACCGGATTTCCATGTCCAGGACAGTAGTAGGCTGGTTTCTCAAGCGACCTTGCACCGAAACACAGTGGAAGGTGTTCCGTGCTTCTGTATGGACCGCTGATCGCACCTGGTAACTTTAGATGTTCTCATGTGCTTTCAGATTCCATCAGCATTGCTAGTCTCACGTGGTCCGCAGGTGAGAAGATCAGTATCCTGGTTCCAACCTTCAACGGCTCAAGTGACTTCTGGTGCCAGCCGGCTTCCTCGGCCGATGATCTCATTGCACTCGGTGAAACGCTGGGAAGTGTATGCGAGTCGGCGGCGGTGGCGATGACTTCTCTTCCTGCAGTAGGATCACTGTGCTGTGCTCGCTTCACGGTCGACGGACTGTGGTACCGTGCCCGTGTACTGGCCCATGAAGGTGCCCAATGCAGAGTAAGTTGTACCTCCTCACCCCCTCCCCGAGCGTACTCTACTACTGCGTGCTAAAATAGTCTCATCAACAGTCAGTGCATCACTAACCACTGGAGTATGCATAGGCTTGGTCTTCTCGTGGTGCTTCTGATCTCTCTCTCTCTCTCTCTCTCTCTCTCTCTCTCTCTCTCTCTCTCTCTCTATCTCTCTCTCTCTCTCTCTCTCTCTCCCTCTCATCTATCTATCTATCTCTCCCCCTCTCTCTCTCACTCTCCCTCTATCTCCCTCTCATCTATCTATCTCCCTCTCTCTCTCTCTCACTCTCTATCTCCCTCTCTCTCTCACTCTCTCTATCTCTCTATCTCTCCCTCTCTATCTCTCTATCTCTCTCTCTATCTCCCTCTCTCTCTCTATCTCCCTCTCTCTCTCACTCTCTATCTCTCCCTCTCTCTCTCTCTCTCTCTCTCTCTCTCTCTCTCTCTCTCTCTCTCTCTCTCTCTCTCTCTCTCTCTCTCTCTCTCTCTCTCTTTCTCTTTCTCTTTCTCTCTGATTAGGTCTAGGTTGTACCACTTTCTCTGTACTGTGTATACAATACTGTTGCTGTCTGTTTGCCTTGATTCTTTTCTATTAGGTATTCTTCGTGGACTATGGCAATGAGGACGTTATAGGGACAGATGCGTTGCGTGCACTCACCAAAGACCTCTGTATGTTGCCTGCACAAGCTGTGTGCTGCATTGAGAAAGACTGTGGTGCCTGGTCTGATAGCACACACGAGTCGTTTGGAGCACTTGCCCAGGTATGTTGGCGCGTGGCTGGTGACGGATATTTATTAGCATGGGCTGGGAACTTGTGGGGCTGGCCGGCGGTGTGATAGCCCATTCTGTCATCTTTCCAACGGTTGCTTTCTGAATCTCTCCCCTTCCTTGAAGGAGAGCCTCGTGTGACCAGAATCCTGGTGTCAGGCGCATGTGTGATTGAAGGTGTGTCAGTGAGTCGGACAGAGTTTGTGTGTGTGTGTGTGTGTGTGTGTGTGTGTGTGTGTGTGTGTCCCATATGGTGCAGTGGTATGTGCAGCGATTTCCAATCGATAGGTTGCGGGTTCAATTCCCGACGATTATGGTCACACACGTCTTTCTTCTCTTTCTCAGACTCTTCCTGACTTTTCTTTCATTCTCCTGGGTGGTTACCAACAGCCAGTGTATGCCGGAGTATGTGGTGTGGTGTGTGTGTAGAAAAAGAAAAAAAGAAAAAAAAATGGAAAAATGAAAAATAGGGATTCACTGGCCAGAAAAAGTCACTTCAAACAGCTGTGTGGTGGATACCAGGCTAAAAATAGTGGCGGTCAATTCATCAGCCTTGCAAGCTGTTGAATGGTGTAATCCCAGCACAAGTTGTTCGCTATCATCGCTCCCGCGATGAGCATGTCTGAGGTCTGAGGTGTGTGAGAGAGAGAGAGAGAGAGAGAGAGAGAGAGAGAGAGAGAGAGAGAGAGAGAGAGAGAGAGAGAGAGAGAGAGAGAGAGAGAGAGAGAGAGAGAGAGAGAGAGAGAGAGAGTTCTTGAGACAGATTATTTTATGCATGAGGTTGAATTTCACTTGCCGGTACGATGACTTGTTATACAAGGCTTGAAGCGCTCTTGAAGTGTGCACATCTCCTGTGTGACCCATCTCTGTTTTCCCTTGCTCTCTCCTGGTGTTGCAGCAACTGGAGGATTTGATTGCGGAAGTGGTGTCTGTCGCCGAGAACGTTCACACTGTAGTTCTGCTGGACACGTCGGAGAGTCCTGCGGTCCCGCTTATTAGCCATCTACAGGGATAGAGAGGAGAAGAACATCCCGACTGGATAGGTGGGTACTGATGCTGGTCAATCTCTGTAATCTCTGCCCCCCCCCCCCCCCCCCCACACACACACACTCTCACTGTACAGTCAACTTCGCTAAATAACGACTGCGGATATAACGACAGAATGTCCATGCCCAGAGCAAAGTTCCATCCAACTGTAATACATATAATGAGACTTCGGGTATAACAACACTTCGCGAATAAGGATACTTTTCTGATGCCCGGCCGAGTGTCGTTATAAGCGAAGTTGACTGTACTGTACTCTGGTCTGGTCTCAGGTGGGTTTTTGTAGAATAGGGTATTTTGTATTAAATGAAACCTGGAGATTTTCCAGCTGCATACCACCTGTTTGGTTGTGGGCTTGAGAGCATGGAACTGCACTGAATACGAGCTTCATTTTGATGTATACGTACACTATACGGTATAATGGTGTGGTCGCTAGGCACAAAGCTGACAGGGGGTGCTGTGACATGCAACGATCTGCCCCCAATTGGACCTTTCCTACCCTGAGCCTTCCAAGTTGGAAGGTTCTGAGCCTTCCAAGTTGGAAGGTTGTTTGTTGGAGCTAGGTGCCATGTTGTTGAATGTCTCAGTACTGCCTGTCAGTTTTGTGCCCGCTCGTCGCACTATCTGATTGTATAATGATCCGGCTACATTGGTGGACCGGAACTTTTTAACATCCTGTGCTCATTATAATCATGAATAATATCGGCTCGCCTTCTCAGTTCTAATAGGTGTACAGTGAAGTAGGCAATTTGCGCACTGGGAACAGAAACAACCAAATTCCTTTGTTGGAGAAAACAGTACTAATATTAACGAACAAACTCAATTCCTCTGTTGGGACTACTTTACACTCCGGCCATCAGCGGCCAGCAATCATAACTGGAGACTAAAATGGCAACTGAAATCTGAACACTGAAGGCAAAAGATTACTTGGCAGGGAACTAATGGTATCCAGTAACTCATGCTTTGAATATCACTGCAGCTAAGGGGTCGTCGCAAAAGTTTTCTGTCGTCCCTGAAACGAACATCGTTCATTTCGTACTCGGACCCCTCCCCTCCCTCTGAAACGAACACAGCTTGCTATGCTGGACGACGAAAATCACATGCATGTACATGTCATATGTACAGTGTCGGTCCACTTGCGATTTTGGCTCGCACCCCCCCCCCCCCCCCCCCCAAACGAATCATGTTCATTCCAGGGACGACAAAGAACTTTTGTGATGACCCCTAAGATAACGTTATTCGGTTGTCACGCTAGTGACTATGGGTCGACGGGGATACATTTATGTGGGACGTGGGCGGGTAATGTCTAGCGAATTTTGCGAAAAAGGAGTGTTTTTGCTGTTTGCTAAGCTGTAACTTCACCAAATCAGAAATTGTATTCCCCCCATGGGCATTCCCTACACCTTTTTATTTCTTTTCTTGATGCTCTGGTCGCTACAATTTATCATTTTGCAAAATCTTTGATTTGAGGACCAGCCTGATTTTGCAAAATTTTCCCGGTTCATCAAGTACACGCTTTGCGGAGTTTTTTTTTTTTGCTTCTGCACTTATCATAATGTAATGTTGGTGATGTTGTGTGCTCATTCATGGTTTGCTGCACCGCTTCATTGGGCTGCTGGTTGTTCTTGTTGTGTTGCATGTGTGTTTTGCACAGATTGAGCTTGTACCCATTCTCAGCTCACTCAGCTGTTATCCCAGTGAAGCACGGTGATTGGCGGCGTTCGTTTGCTGCTGCGTGTCCCCAATGTGTTGGGTTTTGGCCATGGATTTCGTCTGCATAGTTCCTGTCTTTGCTTGCTTGTGCGTATGCCTGGAGCCCCGCAGAAAAGGCGTACTGTTACTCAACTCTCTACGACCAGATTGTCGTCGGTGACCTTGTCCCGCCATCGAATTATTGCTGGATCCTTTGTGTTTGAGCATCCACCACATTTTACCTGAGCTGTTTCTCACGGCTTCTCCTGCTTGCATCTGCCTCTGTGTGGTAGCAGATGGCTAGACCGCAACTAACAACAGCATTCCTGTTGGGGTTGGTACGTTTTGTGTGGGTCCATATGTGTGCGATCGTGTGTGTGTGTGTGTGTGTGTGTAATGTGTGTGCGTGTGTCCACACGTGTAGTGCTTGCACGTTTGTGATAACTTCTGTCCGCTATTCATGACGTGGCATCCGTTGAACAGTGCGAAAACCCATTAATACGTTTGCACTGGTTTTGTTTTGCCATCCTCCTATTTTCAGTTTCCTTCTCGTAGTCCCGAAATGGTGGTAGTTTTTACTGTTTCAAACATTTTTGTTTGATTTTAGTTGATCACCTAACTTGTGTGAGCGCAGTTTGGTTTCCATGGCGCAAGCTTTTCCCCATCGTGTTTTCAACCTGTTGTGTTCGTCCTTCCCCTTTTCTGGATGTTGTCTGTGTGCAACCTATACAGCTGTGTGGCTGTGTCCTCCTGGTGGTGGTGTGTGTGCATTTGTGTGCATTGTATTCTTTTTGGCTGGCCTCTGCGTCGCACCGCCGCTGTTCTTTCACTGTTCTGCTGCATGGCGGATTCTGATTGCGAGACAGGAATATGCGTGTAACAACGGCGTGTCCATGTGCCTTCATATGCCGTTGTTATTGTGTCTTCTTCAAGAGTAGTGCCCGGCTTTCCGTTTGTTCATGGTATGGGTACTAGTACTATAGTACTAGTATGTGGTCAGGGGCCCTTGGTGTTTTGTGTTGCACACAGCATTGTTGTTACTGCAGGCCTGGCCGCCTTCTGCCATTGGATAACTGGAATATTATTTTAAATGTTATTGTATGTGTGCATGGAGATGCTGTAGCATTGTGCACATCAGGGACATAGACGCCTAAGCCTTAGCCAGCTACACTAGACTATGTAGACCTACTGTCATAATCAAGTCAGAAGATCAGGGATAGACTGGTACATGGTGATATTAATAATTATTATTATGGTCAAGAAGTGGTCACTGGTCATGCATGGTGACACTGCAACATGAACAGTGCAGTCAGTACAGTACATTCATCGTCAGATGCACAGCTACAGCAGCACAGGTCAGTGCATGCACAAGCCACAAAGCCACAAATGCAATGCACATCACTCAGATTCACTGTGACATCAGGCCGGACTACAGTATACATGGTATAATCAAGAGTCCATATAAATAGCCCCGGGGTTATGGACACTTGGTATAATCAAGAGTACATAAACCGGTGTATAGCAATGAAAACATTTTCATGTTCTTGGTATAAACCAAGAGTACTGGTTATGTACTCTTGGTATAACCTAAAGGGGAACTCCACGAAAAAATGAAAATTTGATAGCCTGTAGAGTTTCGGGCGCTGAGTCGAATGGTCTTGGTCCGAAGTCTCTACGAGAAAGCGTTCTTGAGATATTTCAATTTTAGCCACGCCCCATACCAATGTATGTGTGACGTCATTGTGGCATGGTGCGAAAATACTTGGATTTTGAATCTCACTTTCTTCAGGACGAAAGTCACTTCAGAAAGTAGTTTGCCAAGTCGCCTGAGCCGCTGCAATGCCAAATTGTTGTGTTGTTGATTGTGCCAGTATCACATCATCCTCCTGGGGTTAGTTTTCTCAAATTCCCAAAGGATGGAGACCTGGCAAAGTGCCGAGATGTTGCAATGCGTCGTGAAAATTTCAAGCCTATTTTCGCAGCACGAGCTATGTTTGCTCGCTGCATTTATGATCCAGAGGGACTTGAGAGCTGAGTTTTGACGAGTACGCCGTCCAGGAAAGCCCTCATCAGTGTACCAGTGCCCTCCGAACCGTGAGCCTCCAGCAAAGCGAACTCAACAAGCTGCAACTGAGAAAGCAGGGCGAGATACGTCCCATCAGGATCAGAAGAGTACATCACCCCATCAACTCCGACTGCAGCTAGCTGATGAACGATATTACCCCAGTAACTTTGCGCATACCAGTACTCAAACTGTGCACATCTGTCATCAACTGGGACGCAAACAGACAGACCCCCAGCAAGTACGAAGGTTACAGAACTGTTTGCTTGCGATGTGCAGGCAGCATGCACGACGAACTGTCTCACCAATCCTGCCAAACTGAACCAGTGTAAGTTGATTGCGTGGATATGTCTCTATTTATAACAGCTACCCTACTTCTAGGCATGGTTGCATGAATACCATATCACTCAGAGCAGTTGTTAGAAGTCTGGACAGCCTTGGAATAGTGCAAGTAAAGTGAAACAAAAATATATTACACTCCGAGTTCCACGCTTGCGGGATCACCAGGCCAAAAAAAATCTAATTTCGAACAAGGAATGGGTTCTGGTTGTATGCGAAAGAAAAGTAAGTGAAGACCTATTGTGCAAGGAATACAGTGGGAACTACACATATTATACACATGCACTCACACCTTCACCCACATGCGCGCGCGTGCGTGTGCGTGCACACACACAAACACAACAACACACACACATACGCACCCACATACTCAAACTCACTCGCACGCACGCTAGCCTAAGGATAGTACATATGCTGTAGTAGTGGTATACTTAGTGAAATGACTATGTGTACATCTAATGACGCCGCCACTCCACGCCAGAAAACAACAAACATCTGCTGAACATTTTTGCTCCCGTCTCTTATGGGCAACACAGGGAATGAAACGAACAATGCAATTGAGAACAAGAGTCGTCCTGTACGGTGAAGTTTCCATTTTCTCATACAGCAGTATATTGTCTAAGCAAGTGTGTTTTCTCCACATTCTTTTTGCCATGCAGGTATATCACAGTGTCATGCCAAACTACATTCTCAAACGCATTCGTTTCTCAATTCTGGGGATGGTTGGACACGCATATCTCGCAGCTCTTGACAACGTCAATGTCAACCGTCGCCACAGCACAACCAAAAAGACCGCGATAGGAAGGTATAAAGTCCAGTTCTCAAAGCATAAAGAAGACTGTGGCCAAATAGAAAATTATACGACAGAAAGAGCTATGAGTATGTTGACAAGCTCATGTGTGAGGTGGTAGCGGTTGCAAATGGCAACCTCCATGTTCCTGCCTTGGAGAAGCGTGTTTCCCTGCCAAATTCCAGGTGGAAGCCTCCTGAGAAGGCTGAGGTGGTGCAGGATTTGGATATCTTTGCCTGATGGTATTCACAACGCAGGCTGGAAGACGACAACGAACGTGCTTGCCCAATTTGCCGTGTACATAGTGTGTACTGCCTGTGTGCCGCATAGCGTAGAGATCTACACAAACACAGAATGTCATATGGAATGTGTATGATGAGTGCTTGTACACATACCACATTGCTGTACCGTAATAATTATTATAGTCAAATACTCATTTACTCTACATATGCGCTGTATTGCACCTACCGGTACCTACCTGCACTTTCAGTGCGCGCGCCATACTAATTTAGTGTCCACTGGTACAAAGATGGAGGGTCTTGTAGAATTTCCCATAATTGCTGATTTACAGTTTCCTCTGAGACAAAAATGCGATAATACTCATAAAAAGGACACACTTCAGGCTCATTACAAACATCTTGAAAGTTTTTGTCTTCACAAGTATACTTTCAAGCCTTCTCATCAGGTGAAATACAGGCAAGAGAAAAGGAACAGGAACAGTGGATTAAATACAGTAAGAAGGTGGTAAAACAGCGCAAAAAGAAAGAAAGAAAGAAAGAAGATAGCTAAAGTAAACAGCGAAAATTGCAATAATGACACAAAGGTGCAAATGCGAGAAAACTCAATAAGCGCGACATGTAGTGCGACAACAAGAGACAACCACTGGACATACATGTAACTAACGAGGTTTTGACGACCTACCTAACAGCCTAAGTGTGAATTTGATTTGTTTCTGTTTGCAAAGGTTGGGTTTCCTTGTGTGGATGTATACAGCTTCCAAAACATTCAGCAATCTAGCACTGCGTACACGTGACACAATCGAAAAACAATCATCCGAATACACAGCACGACAATCAGGATGCTCAAACAAATGACTAGCAATGGACGACTCATACTTATCAGAACTAACATCAGAACAATCAGCATGTGCGGTGGACACATCCGATTTCACATGGCTAGTCGAGTGGACCCTAGCCGTTGCCTCTGTCTGTGCTTTAGTCGCTGCCATCACCGCCGTTGCCGATCTTGTTATTCTTCTGGTTGATGTGGTTCCTGTCACTGCCACGCACGTAGGTGTCTTGTCCGGTTGTTTTTCTGGTGGTCTAGTTAATTGTGAGGTGACGTTCCTTGGTGTTGATGCCGCTGCGTTGGACCATCTTGTACCAGGATGATGTTTGTAATGAGCCTGAAGTGTGTCCTTTTTATGAGTATAATTGCTGATTTCAAATTGAATTCCAATGATCTGGGGGATGAATACTGATTAGGACGCGTTCGATTACCTACTAGTACAGAGATATCTTGGTCAGAAAGTACAGATTTCTTACTCTCCTGCCAGAATTTGTGCATTATTTTGGTGTACGCTTTCTTGACCCCACGCTTGTACGTTGCATGCCATGGTATACTAGAAAACGAGTTTATTGACAAAGTCTATCGCTTGAAACGATAAAGTATGGGTTCGGGTGTGATCAAATGCACCCATGGTGCTCATGAACTGTGTGCAGTGCTCTCTTCACCAACAGAACACTACCTACCATACTTTGTAGATCTTGTACCAATCCAAGGGAAAATGACAAAGACAAATGTGAGTCATGCATGAAAACTTGTGATAGCACGGTCTATAGTACAGAACAACGTTGTTCGTGCTATGCCTGACAACAATAATAAGTTACACATAAAACATTACGCGCATCGATCCTCACAAGATAAGTCAAGACATACTCGGAGCAAAGAGAAATTAAAATTTGTTTGTGTCATGCATGAAACTTGTGATAACTACCAGTACAATGTCTTTCTTGTGCGACGCCTACTGTAGTGCGCCTGACAACAATAAATTTCCCCCAAAAAATAAGAATAAGTGTATCATGCTGATACGCGATCCTCACAAGACAAGTCAAGGCAAACTAATTGAGGCTTACCTAATGTCAGACTCTTCTGTCACTGGCATTGGCGGCTTCTGCATGTCGAGATAACCTCGAAGAGCAGTGATGAGCACAGCCTAATGCAAGGATACGATCTCGTAATCTGCGAGGTCCGCTACGCAAGAAACCTTGGGCCGTCTTGTCGACAGCGACGGCAGCATCCTACCAGCAAAATCATTCCCGCGGGCTGGGCATGGCTATACACTTTTGTCCACGCTCGCACCAGTCGGAGTCCCAAACGAATCGAGATTCTGGTGGCCAAGCTACTCGTCTTCTGTCGGACGCAGCTGCTGACGCATCTTCTTCCTCCACATTTGTTACACGCGATGGCAGCTCCTCAGCAGAGTATCTGGGCTCCCTGCCCCAACCATACGCGGCGGTGGGCTGTTGGTCGTCCTCACTGGCCTCAGCATCGCTGCCTTCATTGCTGGGGACAGAGGATTGTTCGGAATCGCCCATCTTCCCTTGAAATACCAACTAAAATTAGTGCTTGTAGACTGGCGAAGAGAAACGACTTTGCCACAATGACGTAGGCAGCCCGTGATGATGTAACCAAATGGCCGCATGACGTCAGGGCGCGGCCCCCGTTTTTGCAATTTCAAAGTGAAATATCTCAAGTAGGGAGTTCAGTTCCGGCCACGGAAAAGCGAAAAGTGCAGTCACAGCTCGCCTGTACAAATAAAAATTAAAAGTGAATGGGCGCCTCGTGGCTGCAGTTCGAGATGCAGTTCGTGGCCCGAGTATCTTCTCCCGCGGCCTTTTCGGCCTTGTCGATGCTATTTTTAGGTAGCCGAGGTCATTACCTTTCCAATGGTGCCACACATGCCATGCTTCCAAAAATAATGCCTCCGCGCTTGGCGCGGGTGCACTTCGAAGTACTAATTTCGACCAGATCCGTACTCGGCTTCGCGAGGAACACCCGATTTTCGTGTTCAGCGGCCTCGAATTAGCCTAAACCAAGAGGATTCTACAACATTGAGGCTCGCGCTTTATCGCCGTAGAAGGAAAATGATCACAGAAACCAGCCCACGGCGATTTCCTGGTGGTAGACGAAAAATCGAGTGAACTGCGCGCACACTGGTAGAAGCAGTGACGGTGAAAACGTGTGACTTGTGCAAGTCGGCGCGCACGGCATGCGTGCACACTGCATGCATGCACACATCCTGTATCGCCATGTATGCACCAGATAGTGCAGTGCTGGACGGAAACCACACGGCTCACATACATACTTGCATCTACTTCTGTGACTACTTTCTCCCCCGTTTTCCGATCTTCAATCGACTATAACTCTAGATTGCCTTGGAATTTTGGGTTCAAATTTTCACAGGTTGTTTCTCGATTCTTCCCGGTTTAGAAAAACTAGCGTTTTATGCAAAACTCGCGAATTTGATTTTTCAATTGAAGTCCCTATCTCAAGAACGCTTCGTCGTAGAGACTTCGGACCAAGACCATTCGACTCAGCGCCCGAAACTCTACAGGCTATCAAAGTTTCATTTTTTCGTGGAGTTCCCCTTTAAGTCAGGGAGTCGTAAATACCTTTTTTTTACTAATTAATTTTTAATTTTTTGTTGTAAATGAGAATGACATCATACCATCCCATTCGCATGGCACATGAGGTAATCCCTCAAATCAGCAAAGGAAAGAGAAAACTATCCGGCCGCAGGCAGAAGAAAGAACATTTTGAACTTTTGTAGTTTCTGTCGTTATCATTGTCTTCTCAGACGTTACTCTAGGGGAGCAGTGAGGAAAGAAGACAAGCTATATCCCTGTGCAGTTTCTGTCGTTGCGTGAGTTGTTTGCTGTCCTTTGGTGAAGAGAGCTGAAAATCGATCAAGATGAATAGGCTCTTTGGATCTGGAAAGCCGAAGAAGCCTCCACCAACTCTTACAGATGCAATCTCAGGCGTAAGTCGTGAAACGTTGAGCTTATCGAATATCCACGGTTCTAAAATCTTTCAAGATAGGTGTCTCTGATCTTACTGTAATGGCTACTTCCGTGGGCTACAAGTGGATTCAGAAATTGGTCAATTTCAAAATTTTCAACGCTCAATATATTTTGCTCAGTTCCTACCATAACAGCATCTCGAGCGCGAGTGCAATGTGAAATGATATTGTGTTCATTACAGTCGTTGCTTGTGCCGAAGTAGATCATGCCCACACAGCCTGATGGGGAAATAGGAATACTCCAGAGATGTTGTTGGTCTTTGTGAGCACAAGGGACCAGCACTGCTCTGGCTGTAGATCTACTGTGTGCTTCCACTTGTAATGTGGTCGGGGTGCCCGTGGCTTGACTGCTGATGCATGGCTCTACAAAGGACAGTGCAGTGAAGAGGATAACTGCTTTTATCTGCTCGACACCCTTCGTTGGATCAGGCAAAACATGCAGCTTAGAAACTAGCGTACTCGATGCACTATGGCTTATTGCTATGGACTCAACATGCTTTACATGCAGGTCGAGTGTCCCAGGGCCAATGCTAACCGCTTGACTAAATGAAAAAATTGCATGCTCTGGCTAACACATTGCATACATTCTGTGCAGGTGGACGGCCGCGCGGAGTCCATGGACAAGAAAATCCAGAAGCTGGATCAAGAGCTGGCCAAGTACAAAGAACAGTTGAAGAAGATGAGAGATGGCCCGTCCAAGGTATGAGCTGTGCTGTAGATTGCCTGAGCTACATGTGAAGAGCCGGAGCGCAAAACCTGCTAATTTCATTACTTTTCGGATGATGGCCGAAAAAGGATTCTTTTTTTGTGTGGTTTGTATCTAACATCCATTTTGGGTTCCAGTTTTGAAATGGTTCTAGTCAGATTTTGAATGTGAAAATATGCCTGGTGGTTCCCCTGCACCTTCTGAGTACACGGAGCTGAAAATTTGACTTTCTCAAATCTGGCGCTTGTCGGGTTTCGCATCTCAGTTCTTCATGTACACACGCGGTACTGCATGGTGTAAAACAGTACACCAACACACGGTACGTTGATTGACTTCAAAAAGTGTTTTTTTTTGTTTTACACATAATCAGGACTACTAAAGGGTAGGCCAAGGCCAACTGATTGTGTTGGAATCCGGTCTGCCAGCCATGTACCAAGCTGCTGCAAGTGCAATATCCTCAAGAGGGTGCCGGTACAATGCACAGTGTATTGTCATAGTCCTGGGCAATGCTGGTAGAGCGTACATATGAATGAGAGGCAGCTAAACCAGGTGAAGGCCGACTGCAGTGTGATGGTTAGTTTTGCTGTTGATATGCCTTATTTCTTGTACATGTCTTTATGCGATTTGGCTCCGTTTTTTGTTAATGCTCCAATGATGCTGTGTTTCCTATGTGCCTGTCCAGAATATGGTAAAACAGCGTGCTTTGAAGGTACTCAAGCAGAAGAAACAGTGAGTAGGGTTTTCTTGCCTTTGTGTACAAGCTTGGGCAGGCCATGGTCGCTTCACTTTTGTCGTGTTTTGACTGATGAGTAGGCAATAGGGCATGTCTGTGATGCACCGTTCCTTGCTGGTGTTGTGTGCAACCATGTCTTAGATATGAGAACCAGTATTCTGGTCTACAACAGCAGTCATTCAACATGGAGCAGGCCAACTATGCCACACAGACGCTCAAGGACACCAAGACAACGGTGAGTTGTCGCAGCCGGATAGTATACCACTGACCAGACACAGACGTACGCTCCTAATGTGGATGACCACATTGACCAGGCGATCTCAGCTGAGTGTTTCATTAGTCCAAACGTCTTCTCTCTCTCTCTCTCTCTCTCTCTCTCTCTCTCTCTCTCTCTCTCTCTCTCTCTCTCTCTCTCTCTCTCTCTCTCTCTCTCTCTCTCTCTCGCTCGCTCTCTCTCACTCTCGCTCTGCAGGTCTGTGCGATCTCTTACATGGTGCTGAGATTGAGATAGGGTGTCCGTCGCATGCAAATACGTTGTTTACTCTCCTTCTGTACCGTTGTTACTCGTGTTAAGCACTGTCCTTTGTTCCACGCATTTACTTTGTATTGCCAGGTGGATGCCATGAAGCTCGGTGTGAAGGAGATGAAGAAAGAGTACAAGAAAATCAAGATCGATGATATCGAGGTTGGTTTCGTGTTATCTCATTGCTGGACAGAAAGCTGCTTGCACCAGCGAGTGCATAGTAGCATTGGGTACATTTGACCATGGATATTTTAACCGAGCTTTCCCCGCTTATGCCGTGTCTTCTGTACTTCAGTGCTCGCAAGGGATGTACTTCGAATTATTACATGTCAGGTGACCGTTTCCAGGTCTACAGCCAATCAGCGACCAGATAGAGCGGGCAATATTCCTCCATACAAGCCCGCTCAGGCGGTCCAATATTACACGATATTGCCCGGCATTTTACCCCATACACACTGTACACATACACATACAAGTAGGTGCGCATGTAATACCAGTTGGATACATGTGCCTCGTAGTTTTTCGTACCATGATCCCGAATTCCACGTGTGAAGGCAGTGTACGTTGATGAGTACATCAAATTAGGGAAGTATGCATGTAATAAAAGCCTCGTAGTACGGGCAATACCGGCTACGATATCTGCCGGTATTGCCCTGATACTCGGCTAATAACACATACGTATGTGGTGATCATGATGCCTCAGTATGGTTACTGCTCACTGACCCTTTTTCCACACTCACAATTTTCTCCCGAATACTTCCGCTCATCCCTTGTCTTTACTGGTAGGCCCAGCACCTTACACGTTTTCTCGTGCTTCCGTTGTTGTCTAGGACATACAAGATCAGATGGAGGATATGATGGAGTTGGCTGAGGAGGTACAGGAATCGCTGGGCCGATCCTACGGCTGTCCTGAAGTGGACGAGGACGACTTGGCAGCCGGTTAGTTTTCTCGTTGGTACTGGTTGTTGTGGTGCTGGTGGTTGTGGTGTGTGTACTTTCTATGTGTGTTTACGTGCATGTGCACGTGCGAGCCTATGTATGCATGGGTGCACCCATGCGTTCGGATTGCTGACTTTCTAGTTAGTTATATTGCATGTACGGATGGCATTTAAAATATTTGTTATTGTGTGGACAGCTGATGCATGGCGAGTATTGAAGTTCGACCATAGGCTATTCGTTGTACTCACAGTCCTGTGTTTTGCCACATTGGTGCGTTTTCCTGTTGTGTGTGTTAGTACCCGTCCTTTGTTTCTTTCACTGCTGTTTTTCACCATCTGATAGAGTTTGATGCCCTGGGAGATGACTTCGCACTGGACGAAGACTCGTCGTACCTTGACGCAGCGAGTGCACCTGCTGTTCCCGACGCCACGCCAGCACAGGTAATTCAGAGTTATGGGTCTGTGAGGGCTATGGTTTACACGCCACGCCAGCACAGGTAGTTCAGAGTTAAGGGTCTTTGAGGGCTATGGTTTACATGCCACGCCAGCACAGGTAATTCAGAGTTATGGGTCTGTGAGGGCTATGGTTTACATGCCACGCCAGCTCAGGTAATTCAGAGTTATGGGTCTGTGAGGGCTATGGTTTACATGCCACACCAGCTCAGGTAATTCAGAGTTATGGGTCTGTGAGGGCTATGGTTTACACGCCACGCCAGCTCAGGTAATTCAGAGTTATGGGTCTGTGAGGGCTATGGTTTACACCAAGAGTACATAACCCCCCAAGAGTGTGCAATTCCCACATACCCTGCTGTCCTGACAGAATTTCAAGTCGACGTCATTATTTTGTGATGCAATGCTCCTTGCACCAGTGATTTACAACATGTGTACGGGTGTCGACGCATCACACGTTTTTCTTTGGAATAATTTGTGCGGAATCAGACGGGCCTTGGTCCACCACAGGTTCCGGATTCGTGTGATAATCCGTGTACAGTGCGCATTACATCATTTTTTTTTAAATGACGTCAACTTGAAATTCTGTCGGGACCGCACCCATAGTCCAATTGCTCACTCTTGGGGGTTATGTACTCTTGTTTACACGCCAAGGGTCTGTGAGGGCTATGGTTTACACGCCATGCGGGCGCTTTCCAACTTTCATGTAGGACTATCCGGGGAGGGTTTTTTGTACACGGTTAGGCCACCTAGAATTAATTCGTTGTTTCGGGTCACTTCACTCATCCGTACCAGGGTCGGTCAGTCGGGTTTATTTTTTATTTTATTTTTTATTTTGGTTTACGTCCATGTGCATACATGTACATAGAATACCTTTTGTCCATCTAGCCAGTCGATCAAATCTGACTGTAGTGTAGACAATCCAGCGCAGTCATTGTCCCATCAGATCCAGGTCCCCTCCAGGACCAGATCTTGGCCTCGCTGGCAAACGAGTCTGACGAGCAGCTCTCATCTTGAAAACTTCTGTAAATAGCGACAAGGTGGCGGAGCTGATGCGGTTTCAGGACCGATTGCGGATCGGAGATAGAAGACAACGTCGTCACCAAACGCTGCATCCTGTCATTTGGCTAGCCATGGCTGCTTCTGAGGTGGATGTCTGGACTGCTATTATTAGGGTCGCGTGTGTACATAGTGTAGTCTGTACATTTGCATGCACTATAAAAAAAACATTTTGCGGTCGTGTGAAAAAAGACGGTCGGTCGGGTGACCCGAAACAACGAATTAATTCTGGATGGCCTTATCCATATAAAATATTATAAATGCATTTCTCACCAAGCTCTGTCACGTATAAATTATATAATGCCATGTTGATGTAATTGTGTATTCCCCAATGAATCCTTATACAGTCGTCCCTCTTTAATCCGGCAATTTATAAACCAGCACCCTCTATAAACCAGCACAGTTTTCATTAGCCAAAATGTCCTCTTCGTGCACATTGCAACAGTAGATCAGATTTGTTAATCCAGCACCCTCCCTAATCCAGCAGAATTTCTTTAGCACAAATGGTGCTGGATTATAAAGGGACCACTGTAACTAAGGGTACTCAACGGTCATGTGACACAGACAGTACATATTTCATCCATATAGGGACTTTGTCACCAGCATGCTACCATTAACTCCTGCCGAGTATGGATGATCTAGCTGGTTTGTCTTCTCTCTAAATGTGTACTACTGTAACAGCCTACTGTTTGCGACGTATTCATGTTTGCTAATGTTTGCGACAAGAGCATAACGCAAATATTAACCATTGTGAAATCAAACTTCAACAGTGGGTGTATATGTGTGGCCACGGTGCTCTGCGAATATTTGCCATTGTAAACTCGCTGGTTCTGAGAGATCGCAAAAATTTAGTGACCCAAACATTGGGCGGTTTACAGTATCAGTTGACTATCAAATACCCCCTCAAAAGTGTTCAACTTCGCAATCTCTCACCCCATTGCAGAATTTCTTTTATGACATCAGTCTTTCGCCTCTATTTGCCTCACTTATAAGATCCCATGGGTAGCCAGAGATCAAAAATGCAAAGAACGTCTACATCGCAGCTATGGTAGTCGAAGCAGAGTAGCGGAGAGTTGTTCCATGTGTCCGGAACCTGATGAACTAACAGCGTAGTATGTACACGTGTGGAAAAAGGCATATTTCCATGTGTCCGGAACCTGATGAACTAACAGCGTAGTATGTACACATGACTGTGGAAAAAGACCTGATGAACTAACGTACCGTATGTACACGTGTGGAAAAAGGCATATTTGCACTTGATCATGCATGTACTTCTGCCAAAAATGACGCAATGTTTTTTTGGCCATGGGTGAGTCCATCACAGCTCTAGAGAGAAGCTGCGCACCCACCCACTTAGTTGTATTGTACACTTGCTGGTGCATGTAGCGGTGGCTTCACTTTATTGTACTGTCTTCTGTGCCGATTTTTTATTAATCCGAATGTACGCAAAGTGGCTGACATGTTTTCACTCTTGCTCGAGCGTGCTGGCGTCGACAGGGTGAAGTTTGGGCAGTCCACCCAGTCTCATTACATTATGCTTTGAAGTACTTGTATACGTATCGAAGTATGTGTGTGTATGTGCTGTGCTGTGTTCATTGCAGACTGACGTGGACGAGTTTGGTCTTCCAGCGCTGCCGGCGCAGTAAGCAAGCAGTCTTCGCAGGTGTGTGGGTGCTTGTGTGTGTGTGTGTGATGGTGGTGGTGGTGGTGGTGGTGGTGTGTGTGTGTGTGTATGTATGTATGTGCGTGCATGTGTGTGTGTGTGTGTGTGTGTGTGTGTGTGTGTGTGTGTGCCTGTGCGTGCCTGTGCGTGTGTGTGATCTCAACTAGCTTGGAATATCTCCTTGGTTCTCTCCCTGTGGTGTACATAACGTTATTAGGCTCTGGCTGGCCTCTGCCTGACAGTATCGTGCATGTGTATGTGCCGTATCATGCAAGGTTCTTCCAGTAGCCTTCTTGAACAGGTTCAATCTAGTGCTTGCAAAGCTCTGTTATCTATAGATACATCTGTCGTTTTTCTTATTGTTCTTGTAGTTTTGTGTTACTCTACTCATACTGGTGGCTGGAACATCATGATTTTCTTGAGCAATAAACTTTCTTTCGCTAGCTCTTTTCTAAGTTTTCTTGTAACATCATGATACTTTACAGTCTGATATCAAGCTTGACTTAACACATGTGCCTGCTTCCTTGCATGCACTCTACTGCATGCACTCTCTTTCTGTTCTGGTCATTCATGTACAGCTTATAAACGTTTACTTATAGCATCGAACCCTTCTTTGCCCTATGTGTGCTGTACGACTGGTTTGCTTCTCTGACCTGGCTACGCAACAAATGTTTTTTTTTATTTACTCGTCTCGCGTGCTGAATTCATGAAGCTGTTGCTACTGCACTGTTAAAGTTTTTATACCGTTTGAACGGATAGGATTGGGACGCGTACCCTGTTGATTTGGATTATGCGTTGGCAACGATATCAGCGAGTCTTTGAGATTGTGGTGACCTGGTGCGTGTGTGTGTGTGTGTGCGTGTGTGCGCGCGCGTGTGTATGTGTGTGTGTGTGTGTGGGTGTGGTAACTGTCTTGGCCGTTTTATGCCGAGGTACTCTGTGTGGTGTAGACCAGGTGTGCATTGGTGGTCGATTCACATGGCTTCGCCAGTTGTGTGGATTAGACAGTTACCCGGCGCAAGGCTTGATCTGTCTTATTCAGATCTTGTTCGCTATCGTGGCTATAAGAGAAAATCTGTGGGTGCACATCCAGTGCTTTTGCAGATTTGCGTGCTTCTCTTGCGACGGGCGTGTACATGGTACATGGTGTGTGGTGTGTGGGTGCGTGTGTAGCGAAAATGGATGCCGTGCTGGTAATAATATATGGATGGAATGGAACTGATGTCCATCATGGAGTTGTAGCATCTACTCAGGCTGCTTGATGTCCATAATGCTGTATGCCCTGCATTCTGTGATAATCATTTTTGGAGCCTTGTGACTGGGTTTGAGCATGGATTCAGTGTTTGGAGTGAAATCACTCACAATGACCTGCTGTTTCTACAAGCGCGTAGTAAAATACCAGCTGTATTGCACTACTTTAATAGATCTCTCTGGTTCCTACAAATCATTAATGTAATACATTAATGATTTGTATATCCTTGCCCCATCGAATTGGGCAGACTTGGGCCCAACGCACAGACGTAGACCAGGTAGACAATACGATATAGGCTCTAATCAGTATCTATGTGTCTATTTCCCATGCTGCCTGTAAATAATCGGAATCCCTGGCCTCGCAGTATGTATGAAATGTGCGCGCACATGCCACGTGCACGTGGTGCAGTCAGTCACATGATCACCCGAAATCACTTTCCATGCATGAACGTCGAATAATCAGTGATTTACCTGCAAGACGGTTTTTGACACACATGTACAGTTGTTGTCGATGTAGGTTGTCAGTAGTGTCAGTTACCTTTGTCTTATTGCGCTCCGTGTATACCGTCCTGTAACCAATGGGAATTTGAGAGAAAGAAACGTTTGATTTGTAATAGGGTTTCTCCATTACATTATCTGTAGCAGTAAAAAGACCATTTCGATAGCTGAGTATGTTCAAACTGAGAAAGGAATTTGTCAACTTCGAGGATATATTATTATTTGTTTTGAACTTAGCTTCGTATAGCAGTATCATCGACTCTAAGTGAGCATGGAAGCCAATGGGAGAATATCTGAGCTAGAGCAAGAGGCCAGCGTGTCTGAAAATGCTGGAATAAGCCCCAAACCTACTCAGCCTCGCTGGGTTCGGTGGACCGTTGGCATTTCAGCGTTTCTCACTCTGTTTGCGGTGTGGGGCAACTTCTATGTGTTTGGCATAGTACTTCTGCCTTTTCTGTGTGAATTCGGTGCTGGCAGAGCAGTCACGTGTGAGTATTCATGAACAACATTTTTTTGGAAATTGGTGTCATTTTAAAAAATTCAAAAATTCATCAAAAAAATCACATTCGGATATTTTGACACGGTGAATAAAATTAATGCCTCAACCTGTTCAACTTGTGATTGAAAATGCATACAGTATCGGCGAGAGTAGATAAACACGAGTGTGCAACTCCGGATCTCTCCTGCATAATCTGCACACGGCGGAATTTTTTGTTGACGTCGCCTTTTTTCAGAAGAACGCGCATTTTGCCGCAGAGCAGTGTGAGAGCACGTGCTGGGCACTGACCTTGTAGTGTAAAGCCGGCCAAGAGCACGAGGGAAAACTTTCCGAAAGACTCGCAGCGCGTGCGTCGTCGAAAAGATTACGTCAACAAAAAATTCCGCCGTGGGCCTACCCATCCGCGAGTTGCACACTCTTGTTTATCTACTCTTGGTATCGGGCTTTGTGAACTGCCACTGGTATCGTTTACTGCATGTAGGTAGTGGTATTTGCTCTTCTCCTTTCTGCCGGAGATGATTTGCACCCTGCAAAGTTTCCATCTGATTCTTTTCTGACTGTTTTGCAGCTGGTGTAAGTTCAACGGGTTTGATCTTGCTGGCCTTATTTGCGCCGGTGGCCACATTTCTCCTGAAGCGCACCCGTGCAAGCGTCCCGATGTATGGCGGCATCATCATGTGTTTCCTTGGCAACTTCCTGGCATCGTTCTCACCGAACATTGCCGTGCTGTACCTAACCTATGGTGTCATACTCGGTATCGGCTCCAGTCTGAGTTACACGACGTGTATAGTCGACCTGCCACTGTAAGTGCCCGTGCTGTGTGTGTGTGTGTGTGTGCGCGCGCGCTCGTGTGTGTGTGTGCGCGCGCGCTCGTGTGTGTGTGTGTGTGTGTGTGTGTGTGTGTGTTGTAGCGATGGCGAGTGAAGTCTGGCCTGATGAGTTTGTCACCTCCCTGGCCGACCATTCGGCCCTAAAGCTGTGTTCCCAACTGGCGCGTGGACGTGGTACGCTTGCGGTTCATGCGTGCCCAAACGCGCGCCCAGGCTTTCACAAAAAAACAGCAATCCGAGTCGTATTATTTAGCGCGTGCGACACCTTCCAGTACGAATTTTTTTGACCCTGCCATTCAAAGTGATTGGCATGTACGCTGGTACGCGTCTGATACGTGCTGAAAATTCCAACATGTTGGAATTTCCATTTCGGCGCGTTTCAGTACGCATGGTGCCCCAAAAGCCAGGAAAATACGCACAAACGCGTGGTTTCACGCGTACACGCGCCAGTTGTGAACACAGCTTAACACTACACCCATTGACCCATGGGCTGTGTTGGGATCGTATACGGCTCAGCTTTGTTGGAATCGTGCAGCTATCTTGCAAGCACTGGCCTGCACACTGGCCTGCTTCGCCTTGCAGTGGACCTTTTGATTGTGGAGTTGTGTATCACTGTGTGTACATGTACTGTTTGGTGCTAATCTTTTGATGTACTAGTAGTAGTACTGCATGAACATATTTCTCTCCTCTTGTGCTGCTAGTGGGTAGTGATAGGTGTCAGATGTGCTGTGGGAGAGTGGTACTACTGATAGGACTGTGTGAGCTGGTCCTACTGATACTAGTGATAGGACTGTGTGAGCTGGTCCTACTGATAGGACTGTGTGAGCTGGTCCTACTGATAGGACTGTGTGAGCTGGTCCTACTGATAGGACTGTGTGAGCTGGTCCTACTGATAGGACTGTGTGAGCTGGTACTACTGATAGGACTGTGTGAGCTGGTCCTACTGATAGGACTGTGTGAGCTGGTCCTACTGATATCTGTCATCACTAATAGTTTTTTTAGCTGGTCCTAATGATGTGTGTGATCTGGTCCTAATGATGTGTGTGATCTGGTCCTAATGACGTGTGTGATCTTGTCCTAATGATCTGTGTGATCTGGTCCTAATGATGTGTGTGATCTGGTCCTAATGATGTGTGTGATCTGGCCCTAATGATGTGTGTGATCTTGTCCTAATGATCTGTGTGATCTGGCCCTAATGATGTGTGTGATCTGGTCCTAATGATCTGTGTGATCTGGTCCTAATGATGTGTGTGATCTTGTCCTAATGATATGTGTGATCTGGTCCTAATGATATGTGTGATCTGGTCCTAATGATCTGTGTGATCTGGTCCTAATGATCTGTGTGATCTGGTCCTAATGATATGTGTGATCTGGTCCTAATGATAATGTGTGAGCACTGATAATATGTGTGAGGTGGCCCTAATGATATGTGTGAGCTTGCCCTAATGCTATTGTGTGATCTGGCCCGTGTGAGCATAGCGATGGAAGTGCACACTGTGCTGGTGCCCTGCATGGCACTTGGCGTGTTGATTGCGCAACATTGTGCAACACGTGGGGAGTGTTGACGTTTGACACGCAATCTCTCACCATGGGTTGCGCTTCTGTACTACTTGCGCTGGTAGTCAACAGTCCAAGTTGTCATTGTTCACTTGTTATTGCTACGTTCAGTGTGATTTCTGCTTGCTGCATACTCCAAGTGCATATAACTTAGGCTCAAGTAGCTGTAGTATCTTGGTATGAGTCAAAGAATGGCTGCCACAGTCTTTGTACAAGACCATTGCCGATGCTGTGTGATGGTAGGTAGTGTAGCAGTACTCTGAAGCTGTGCGTATGTGTGTGTGTGTCTGGCTGTGTATGTGTCTGTGTGCATGTGTCTGCGTATGTCCGTGCATGTGTCTGTGTATGTCTGTGCATGTGTCTGTGCATGTGTCTGTGCATGTATCTGTGTATGTGTGTATATGTCTATACATGCACACACACGCACACAGGTACTACCCGGAAAACGAGCGTGCCCGCGCCATAGCGTTCTGCGAGACCGGCGCAGTGCTCGGCTTGATCACCATGGCTCCACTGATGGACGTGTGTGTTAAGCACCTCGGCTGGCGTAAGGCACTGTGGGTGTTTGCTGCTCTGATCGCTCTTCTCCTCTTGCCGGCGCCCTTTGCCTTCAATCCCAAGTATAAGTGTAGCGAGTACGCAAAGAAGTCTGAGAACGACGGCGATGAACTTGAGCCAGCGTCAACAGAGTCCGACGGGCAAAGCACTGTTGATAAAAACACAGCTGAGACGGCGGTGGAGGGCACGCCTGGCAATGCACGGAATGGCACGGTACGTGCTCTGGACGCAGAACAATGCACTCCCAGCACCAGCCTTGCCATGATCCCGCTCAACGACGTAGCCGTAAGCCGACGGGCTAATGGCGACAGTCTCCCGCGGCAGCCGAACGGCCACAACACCCGCTCAATGGACATGCTACCTGTACGCGTTGTTAGTCCGCATGCCAGCTTGCATGAAGTCAACCTGGATAGCCGTTCAGTCATATCGGTGCCGGTGGACGCTGGTGGGTCAAACATGGAAGTTGAGGATTCAGTGCCGCTACTGCTTGACAATGGTGATGTCGAAACCTGCCCAGAACAATCTAAAAAAGAGGTGCTGACTGGATGGAAACCCTACGTTCACCTGGTCAAGAACTCTCAGTTTGTTCTTTTCTGCTCAGCAGCTTGTCTGTGGTACGTCTGTTTCAACGCGCCTCTAGTTTATCTGGTGAGTGATATGGCACGCACGCACACATACACACATACACACACGCACACATACACATACACACACACATACACACACACATACACACACCTCACCTCACCTCAGACATGCCCACCGCGGAAGCGATGATAGCAAACAGCTATGTTAGACATAGCAACTTGTGCTTGTGTGGGATTACACCATTCAACAGCTTGCAAGGCTGATGAATTGACCGCCACTATTTTCTAGCCACACACGCACACATACACACACACACGTGCACACACATGCACACACACACGCACACACACACACACACACACACGCACATACACACACACACACACACATACACACACACACACACATTTGCACACACACACACGCCTCTGTGCATATACCCATGTGTAAGTAATTATAGCACTGGTACATTTTGAAATGTTGGTGAAACCTGGTGAAGACATAACCTGACTTCAGCAACTACCTGGCCTTCGTATATTGCAAGTAGTTAGTTGGTGGGAGTAGGTTCAGGTTTGTTTGCGGGGCATCAGGCCGCAATGGTCTTGTCAGACGATAGCTATTCCTATCAGGGGGAAGTGAGAAGTATCGTCACTTGATTTAATAAGTGCAACAATGAGCCTGTGAGTGTTTCAGATGCATGTGTGTATTCCGCTGTAGTAAAGTTGACAATACTTAAAAGTTAAAAGTAGTAATAGGTTTTTTTCCTGACAAGTCTTGTTTCGTTCCATAAAGATGATGGGGAACTCATCAGAGGAGAAGCAGTTGTTGAGTGAAGGGGTGCTTCTCCTCTGATGAGTTCCCCATCATCTTTATGGAACGAAACAAGACTTGTCAGGAGTAATACTACTTGCTTTCGTGGAGTGTGGCTGGTGAACTGTTCGTGCTGTGGTCTGCAAGCGTCGTGTGGTCTCGTCGGGTCAAATGAAAAACCTATTACTACTATTTGACGGACCTATTGAAGATGGCAACAAAGAATTTAAAATACTTTTAAAAAAGTGTAATGGCCTGCCCTGTAGTCAATCTAACTGCTGGTTTGTTCCGCTTCATGTTCTGTTGTTTGCTGTAGGTCGACATGAGTGAGGCAGCGAGGCGAGCGGCAGAGAACAAGACTGGTGTGAATGAGACGGCGGTGTGCGAGTCCTCTTTCACGGATAGCATGCTCTACATCTACATGTCTCTGGCGCTGCTCGTTTGCTTTCCCCTCGGCGGCTGGTGGTTTGATCGGCTGCCGTCCGTGCGCCATCGTCTAGTGCTCTTGATTGGCATGTACATCGTCACTGGCTTCCTAGTGGCCGTCATCCCACTGGCCAAGACCGAGTGGCAGTTTGCGCTGGTCAGCGTCGGTGTTGGTGTGTCGCGCACGCCCGATGTCTTGCATCCGGCGTTCCTCATGTCACTGCTCGGCGATGACCTGTACCCGTACGCCTGGACGCTGCTCTTACTCACGTCGGCTCTCTTCGACGCGGCGGCACCTCCTATTGTGGGTGAGTTGATGGCACACTTGAGTGATGAGTGAAGCTGCCGCTCAGTGACTAGTAGATACTAGGACCGTATTTCCCCCAATATGAGTCACACCTTTTTAGGTTTAACTTCTCGGGCAAGGAAGGGGATGGCAAGGAAGGGGATGGCAAGGAAGGGGATGCGACTTGCAATCGAGTGTGACAATCTACTGAGGCCAAAACAAACAATGACCTTGTTTCCGGATGGTCGACCGGGCCATTTTTTCCCAATCCTGAAACTTTTTTGGTCCCAAATGTATTCGAACGGTGCCAATGCCATGTGTGCAAGTGCACTCAACAAGTCATAACTCAGTCAAATCTCAACCGAATTCAACAATCGAAATACCTCCGAGGTAGCAGAGATTCTCAGCTGTCGGCTTGAAAAGCTCCGGGATCGATACGACCTAGTAGTATAACGGAGCTGCAAGCACTCGAACTTTTTGCTTGATTTCTCAGGATCTAGGATGACAGCAATACACCACAGGCTGTACAAGAGCGGTCAGTCAACTGTGACATTGATCCTTGCCATGATACAATGTATTATGCACATATGTTGGTGCTGTTGTCCACCAATAACACAACGATTGATGAACCAAAGAAAGGATCCCAAAAAAAGGATCCCAGAAAAAGTTTCGTTCCGGCCGACCGAGTCTTCTTTTTGAGGGGTTGCCGACCCGAAACAAGCCTACCGGTATTTTTTGTTTTGGCCTTATGTGAATACCGCCCACAGTGTGGATGTGTGGACGCTTTACTTACTGTAGTGTCGCGTATGAAAGCATGACCTGTATAGAAGCATGACCTGTATAGAAGCATGACTTGTATAGAAGCATGACTTGAATAGAAGCATGACCTGTATAGAAGCATGACCTGTATAGAAGCATGACTTGAATAGAAGCATGACCTGTATAGAAGCATGACTTGAATAGAAGCATGACCTGTATAGAAGCATGACCTGTATAGAAGCATGACTTGAATAGAAGCTGATTTTTTGAAGCGCGCCGTGACACAGAAGCATGGTTTGAATAGAAGCCGCTCCCTGCAAAGTACATGTGCACGTACATGCGTGGCAGCATGCACTGCACAGTGCAAACATAGAAGCATGTTTTGAATAGAAGTATGGTTTGAACACCGGCTTATACGGCCGTAAGCACCTGCTTTTATACGCGACATTACGGTATGTGAATTTATCACTCTCTTATTATTGACCCCCACAGAAACTTGTGAACTCTATTAAAGCGGTCAAATAGCAGCATTTAAATTATACTTATAAAAACCTCCATTGATTGTCGTGTAGGGTTAGAAGTTTCTATACTTCATACACACCTGTATAAAAAACCTGGTGGCGAAAAACCTGTATAAAAAACCTGTATAAAAAACCTGCCGGCTATAAAAAACCTGTATAAAAAACCTCTTTTTAGGGGTAGATGAGAACAAGAGATAAGAGTATTCACGAAAACAGTACAAACAGATGATGTCCGGCTTGGCAATTGCGCCACGTGTAACAGTCTCCGTTCCTCCCAGACCACCCTGATGGTTCTTCGACATGAAGTCGGAACGCAGAACAATGGCTTCCTCGCCTTCAACGACGGTGAAAACCAGATCTGATTTCATGAGTTCAGTGTGGGCTTCGTTGCCTCGAAGACAAAACTGCAGGGTGATGTAGAACCAAACAAACTGGCAGAGCTTGCGTGGGTCCATTGTCGTCATCCCATCAGCAAAATATTCTTTGATGAGCAGCCAATCGCCATCAGACAAACTCTCCTTGTGGCATACAGGAGCCTCGCGGCCTCCTTTTTTCTTGTCCTTGAGGACGGCATCGAGGAGCTTGTTGGCCTTGACAAACACGCCAGGCTTCAAATCGAAGCCCCGGTCACGGTCATTGACTTCTCTCTGCAAGGCTCCTCTTGCAGCTATTAGACTGGCCCGTTTATATTCCTTCTTGTCATGAGTTCTCACGGAGCAGTAAAACCTTTCGAGGATTTCCGCCAGTACCTTGTCTTCGACAGTAGCAAAATCACAAGACAAGCTCTCCTGCATCAAAAAATCGCTGAACACCTTCAACCAAAACTTCGTTGCAACTTTGGTTGACTTAGGAACTGCTGATTCCAAAAGTTTCTTCCTTTCTTCTTCAGAAACGGACGCAAAACGTCCAGTAGACGTTGAAGAAGCCACTACACTCGTAAACCAAAATAAACAACACGAGGAGAAAGTTGAAACACGAGGAGAAAGTTGAAACACGAGGAGTAAGTTCGAGCATGCGCCGAAATAGGTACGAAAATCCAAAACGAAAATCGGTTTTTATAAGTATAATTTAAATAAAATACATACTTCGTCCTCGTGTTTACTCGAATTATAAAAAACCTCCACAAGACCCTCGGCTTCGCCTCGGGTTTTGTGTCGGTTTTTTATTTCTCGTAAACACCATGGACTCAGTATAAATATTGACCGCTTTTATTGACCACTTTAGGGGCCGTCCAAGGTTACCAATAATATTTTCAAAACGAAATGTTTTCGTTTGTGGGTGGGTGGGTTTGATGGAGTTTCGTTTTGAAAATAATTATTGAATGCTGATGGAGAATGCCCAGTTACTTCTGGATGTCGAAAATTGACATCAATATTCTATTGGAATTCGTTTTACCTGCAGAAAAGGTGGGTGGGTGGGTGGGGGCTGAAAAATACTAAAACTTTTCGTTTTGTAAAAACAATCGGTAACCCCGGACGGCCCCTTAATAGCCCGAGGACTTAGAACTTTTTCCTCAACTTAGAAAAAAAATCAGAACTGAAAGAAGAAAAATCTGAAGCCAAATGCTGGGATTTGAACCCAAACTGTCAGATTCTCAGTCAAAGAACTTGGGGAACATACTACAAGAGATAACTGAAAACTTTGGTTTACACAGAAGTAATGTCCAATGTAAACAGCATATGTACATACTATTATACTATTACAATAGTATTCCTTTCTTCCTATAGCAAAGCAAAAACAGTTTTAGGTATGCTATACGAAGTAGTGGTTGCGACTTCGGCGATGATTTGTAAGAAAGGGTTTGCTCTCCACACCGGAGCTCGCGCTATTCCGCCGACTTTACTTGACACTTGACTGACTCACGACTGCCATCCAGAGCACACGAGAAGTCCATCGAACCTTCGACTCGGCAAACCTGCAAGAAAGCACCACTCCCTGCTCAATACACAGTGTTTCGGGGAATTCACCCCTCATCAGTTGAGCTTGAGTAGGCTGAGGAAAATTGTGCCTGAAGAGCACCACTTATATAGTGCTCTCCAGGCACAAACATCATCAGGGATATAAACTTACAGAGACGCTCCGTTTCCAGCGCGACAAACACCTCGTGAACACCAGATAGCAGCGTGAGTCAGTGTCGCTCCTGGACGGTAAGACAGACGTCGAGGACCCTCGGTCATTCGCAACGCTGTCACCTCCAAACCAACTAGTCGCAAGCCCGCGCTGGGCACAACAGTACGAAGTAGTGGTTGCGGCTTCGGCGATGATTTGTAAGAAACCCTTTCTTACAAATCATCGCCGAAGGGGGGCTTTTCTTCCTTTTTTATGTTGGCTTCAAAATTGTTGGATTTACCAGCATGTAGTTGTACATGATTGTACAGTAATCATCATACATGTACAGTGCGTATCGGTTATAGCGTGGTCGTGTAAAAGAATATACTGCCTACAAGAATGAACCCTCATGTTTTCATAATCATAACATGGATTTCAAGTGCACATTTATTCTTACAAGCAATTTTATCCCATAGTAGAATATATCGGTCCTAAGAATGGACTTTGTGTAGCGAAACATGCCAGATTAGTACAAAGTATATGGCCTGTAGTAATAGCATCTGTCCAATTCCGTTCTGATGTGACTCTCGTTGGGTCGTAGTGCTGCAGATTCAACTGCTGTGGCCATGTAACTCATTTTGCATAGCCACATGTAAGCTTATGGGACTATGACCACCCACATGGACAGAAGTACTGCGTTGCATTGAACGATGATCTTCCTGCCCCTGCGCACATGCATATGATATGCCACACTTGATTTATCGTGTGTAAGAAATATCGGAAATAAGAATAGAAAGTCGTTTTTCAAACACCCACGGTATAACCGATACCTACTGTACATGTCTCTGGCCCTGTAGATGGGTCAAAAAGGCATATTTTTCAATTGATTTCCCTTGCATATTGAATTTTTAGTTCCTTTCAACTGCAATATGAAAATAAAGTACACATTGACATTGAGCAAGAAAAGAGCTTGATTTTGATATGCATGTCATACTGTACAAAATATGGGTTCACAACTTCACATACATTCAAATGGGACTTCGGTTATAAGGACACTTCGCGAATAAGGACACTTTTCTGATGCCCCGCCGAATGTCGTTATTAGGGAGGTTCCGGAGTACGATTTTTCGTGCCAAAATCCGTGGAGGCTCTACGGATTTTTATACGTCGTTTTCGAGCAGTGAAAAGTTCCGGGGTACGGAACTTATGTGTTTGCCGTCATTGCCTAGGTTACGATCGCAAACACGTCATATTCCCGCGCTATGCCTTTTTATTTTGAAAATTTGTACCGAAATCGTACCAAATTTGTACGCGAAAAATCTTTCTGCACCCGATGACGCAAAATCTCCATACGAAGCATGGTTCGTATGAAAGCCAGTCCACACGGATTCTCGTGCCGAAAAATCGTATGGAGCACGCCTGGAAAAAATCCGTAGCGCCCATACGGATTTTGGCACGGAAAATTGTACCCCGGAACCTCTCTATTGGCGAAGTTGACTGTATGAAATATAGAACGAGTAAAAGACCTCGGGGGACCTCGGTCTTTTACTCGTTCTATATTTCATATATTGACCTCTTTAATCGTGCAATAATAGATACATATTGAAACAATACGGCTCAGACCTGAAAGTGGGGGTGCGACTTATAATCGGGGAAATACGGTGCATGCACTGCAACTTACCAGGCGGGCTTATGTTTTCACGAGTCGTTCACCAAGTATCAGTGTTGTCATTGTCTGTGTGCACAATGGCATTGTGATGTCAACCGTACACATTTTCTGGACGGAAGGAGGGCTTTCAAAAGTGCATGTGCTTTTGTTGCGTTGCACATCTAAACGTAGTGCAATGTCTGTTTCATCCCACAGACTTTGCTAGACCTTCAGCATTCAGTACATGTATAGTGAAGGCATCACACTGTGTGTGTGTGTGTGTGTGTGTGTGTGTGTGTCCGCATGCGTGTCCGCATGCGTGCGTGTTGTGTATTACAGGTGCGCTGCACGATGCGCTGGGCAATTTTCTGATCCCGTACCTGATGATGGCCGGTGTGATAGCCATTTCCAGCCTAATCCTTTCCCTACTACTGCTGAGAGTGACGTCGCGTACACTGAAATCCACACTGCAGTCGTGGGTCGCTTCCTGCTGCTGTCGGACTACACGCAGATATCATGATAATGTACGTGCTGTCCGGTATCGTGTGAGACTGGATACTGATGAAGGCTAGGCTTGTTTTTAGTTCAATTTTAAAGCAAATATAATTTTGACTTGTCGGGCAACGACCCCTAGTTTTGGGGAAAACCGACAGGACTCTAGAATATTCTAATTTTATTCATATCCACACTGACAAGACTCTAGAATATTCTAATTCATATCCACACCACAAAATGTCTTGATATTACTGATCTCAGCCAACCAAGTCAAAGTCCATCATCAAACAGCATTTATCACGGTGATGAGTTCACAATTTTTTTAATGCCAGTCTTGATATAATTATTATTATGTACAATTTTCTACTTACAAAACCTATTTACATCATCAGATCATGCGACTACTAAACTTCATGCAATCTCTCACAAGACCATCAGGATCATACTAGGGTTTCATGTGAAGCGTTAAAATGTCATGTGCAAATAAAAGCAATTTTTAATGTTCAGATATGATGACGGATAGACATGACGGATAGACACACAGGGAGGAGAAGACACTTGGAACTATCGCCGGCCCTTTCTGGGATCCTTGAAGGTCTTGGAACCTCTATACTCGCTTTCGGTCAGTTCAGCCTCCTTGAGGACACCCTCCACGTCAACCGTTGTATCTTCGGCCTTGATAGTTACGTCATCAGATTCTGCCGTGTCAAAGACGTCCACCAGGGTGTCCGCACTTGGCTTTTCAACCACATCCAGCGGTGAGATGCGTTTCTTAACTGTCATTTCCTCGAAGAGCTTCTTCAAGTTGCGCGCGTTGCCATCCTTGTTGACGTCGTCCAGGAGGAAGTCGTCAATGCCGTCTCGTCGTGCCTTGATGGCCTCCAGGACGTGAGGCCAGACACGCACCAGGTCCGTGGACAACTCTCTACCGGATCGGATCTCGACTGTGTGCTCGCCTAGCCATAGTGCTGTTAGCCTGATTTGCAGAGAAGAATCACATGTACACGCACAAACGCACGGACACACACACACACACACACACACAGACACACGCGCGCACACACACACACACACACACACACACACACACACGGAAAGTCACTATCTACAAGCTTGTAAGGGTGCCTAGTTGAAGCAATGCTTGCAAGTAGAACTGCCAAGAGATTCACAATGATCAGTGGGTCTGAAAAGGGGGAAATTGAAGAAGGGGCTATGCGGCTGGGATTATACAGCTACACCGGACCCCGAAGCGTTTGATACATAACATTCGTGTCGGCTCATTCTCAGGTAAGAAGGGAGGAGACTCGTGCGTTGTCAGAAAAGAATACGTGTGCAGTTCTGCATATGGGTCCAAGACTGAAAAACAAAATTTCGTTTGTGTCATTTTCGACGTTAAGACTTAGGGGGGCGTTCATTTTTGATCTACAGGTTCGGGTGGAAGCTACTTCTTTCGGTAGAGGTGTTCATTTTTGAAAAAAAATTCTACTCAAAAGGGTAGATTCTACTTTCCTCTACCGGCTCTACCAGGAAAAAGTCGGTAGAATCCGGTAGAAGTTGTTACAGTGCATTTCAAAACTATAGACGCGTAGGGTTTTTGAAATATTTCAAATTTGGCTGGAACTTTTTGAGAATAGTTTTCGGAATATTGCTCAGGATCGCTCCACAATTACTCTCATATAGTTTCTAAAGGATTGGATAACAGACGCCCAATTTGGAAAAATTTATGCACAAAGTGATCACAGATTTTATGTGGTATAGATGCTGGCATAACGGTTTTTGCCTAGGTACGCGTCTATAGTTTTGAAATGGACTGTAGAGCTACGGGATTTCCAGCAAGATCAAGGATTTGTACACAACTCCATCCAAAAAAGGAACATTTCACGTACACATCGTGTAAACTACTAAATCCGGTAGAACAGCGTTCGTTTACTTGCCTCTACCATCTTTCTATCGGTAGAGTGACTCTACTCTACCAGGTACTTCAGTAGCTAAAAACGAACGCAGCCTTAAAGCAAAACTGATGCCACGTGCACAGGTCACAGGTTGCACTGATGCAGCATAAGAGTTAAAGACGGTACTGTACTCGCGGATTACTGCTACAGCTGTACAACTCGTACAAATCTGTCGTGGATCTGACCAAGAGCAACTAGTTACCTGCCCAGGCCAGCACCATCAGTGAGTTGGACACTCTTGCGGGTTATGCACTCTCGGTCAGACCAACAGTGGGGTTGTATGTTCAAAAGACGTACCATATTTTCGCAAATTAGCTCCGGTGTCTGAAATAGGCGCCACATCATTTCAGGGCTTTCGCGTGGCTTTTTATTAAAATTGGGCGAAGTTTTAGGGCTTGCAAACTACTAAGGGTGCATTCGTATTTTCTCTAGCTTCTCGGAGAAATTTCTCCTGGAAGTCGAAGAAGCTGGGCTAATTTAGGAACTGGTCTCGAAGAACTCTGAGATCTTTCGCAAATGTGAAGCGTCAAAGGGGCCGTGATCTTCAGTGACGCGAATGTAGTATGCACTGTGCGTATGCGCTGACACCAAAACGCAGGAATCTCCAAGTTTCAACCACCTCTGAAGTTCGGAGAGTTTGGAGAGCTTTGGAGAGTCTACTGAAATTCAGAGAGGATATAAGAACACTTCTCAAAGTTGTAGGGAAAGTCTCGAACTTTTCCAAGAGGATTTAAAAACTTACAGAACTGGCCGTGAGAACTGGGCACCGATGGTCTTGTATCGGTCATTGGGAAGACGAATGCCACACGTTGCCACCACAGCAAGAGTGCCCTGCGCACACACACAATGGATACACAATGGATACATGATGCATGAAACACATCCTCAATCACGTCAACATCTCCCCATGTCCTGTGGCTGGTATGTGTATGCCTTGCATGCCAGCTTCTGACAAGCTATCACATTAGGGAGGTTTAGTTCCCACGTAACGGAAACGCGTACGTGGGTGATAGACGTAAAGTGGATGAAGGGCATCCACGTTGCAAATGTTGTGTTTAGTCACACGGAACAAACAAAAGCTTGAAGCGAAAGGCCCAAATCTGGTCAAAGACGAAGCTACCCGGGCCTAAGAAGCTCATCGAATATTTTGATTTCGTGCTTCGGAAACTTCTTCAGCTGAGCACACTCACAGCTCGCAAAATGCGCCCCATTCTGATTTTCACCCACGTTCTGGCGGAACGCAGGTGGGCCTCCATACACGGTATGTCGTGAATCAGAAAACGTGTGTACGTGCGTCACTGAGTATCACGTGGTACACACACGTAAAGTACCCACGGATTACGTGGGACTAAACCTCCCTATTGTGTTGATAGTCAACCTGGTTAGCACATTCATGGTTAGCACATTCATGGTCAATACCAGTGCCACGGCCTACTGTATGCTTGGGCAAAGCCACAAAATAAAATGTTTTTTTGGCGAAAATTTACCACATGTACATGTCATGTACTAGTACTCGATTTTCGCCCCCGCCCGCCCTAAATATTGGGGCCTCCTAGTTTCTAATGTGGTTCCCTACAAGGAAGAGCCAGCAAGCATACTGAAACAGTAGCAGCAAGTTGCCACTTACCAACAAGGTGAGCTCATCGGTGCCTTGCAAGACTTGATGAGTGAGTTGGGATAGAAGCTGATTGCCTGGCATGAAGCGCAAGTTGATCAGGCATTTCACCGCAATGCTACAACAGCACAGGGGTTACACCGTAGAACACACACACACACACACACACACACACACACACACACACACACACACACACACACACTTGTACTTGTTATGTACACACACACACACACACACACACACACACACACACACACACACACACACACACACACACACACACACACACACACACACACACACACACACACACACACACACACACACACACACACACACACACACACACACACACACACACACACACACACACACACACACACACACACACACACACACACACACACACACACACACACACACACACACACACACACACACACACACACACACACACACACACACACACACACACACACACACACACACACACACACACACACACACACACACACACACACACACACACACACACACACACACACACACACACACACACACACACACACACACACACACACACACACACACACACACACACACACACACACACACACACACACACACACACACACACACACACACACACACACACACACACACACACACACACACACACACACACACACACACACACACACACACACACACACACACACACACACACACACACACACGGTCATATCAATGCAGCTAAAGAAAACTTACTACCACTACTAAGAATAACCCCAGTTCAGCAGGCCATGCAGGAAGGGACAGCGGGAGGTTTTGCACCACTAACTGTCCAGGACTTTGCTGAGACAGGTGAGCTTGTGTTGCAAAAAACGAGAAAAAAACGAACGGCAGAGAAACATGTGAGTCGTGATGCAAATATCTCACCAGTGGGCTGGTCTAAGACGATAGGGGAAAGGGAAAGTACCAGCTACATTTTCAAGTCATGCTTGGAAACCGAGTGAAGCTGTATACCAACGTGGAAAATGTAAATATTTCACAGCAGTTGCAAATGGCAGAACAGGCCTTAGGCTTAGAGTAGAGTCAAGTTACTTACATAGCTAAGTCACACTCATTACTTGCTATTGCCAGTTCAGCCATTGTCAAAACATCAAAACGAGTAGGTCTGCAACGTCGCGCGCGCGCGCGCGCACGCACACACAAACACACATCACACGTACATACACATACCACATGCATGCACACATACGTACATACACAGAACAACGCATTATAGAGAGGGAGAGAGAGAGAGAGGGAGAGAGAGAGAGAGAGAGAGAGAGAGAGAGAGAGAGAGAGAGAGAGAGAGAGAGAGAGAAAGAGAGAGAGAGAGACAACGCATTAGAGAGAGGGAGAGAGAGGGAGAGAGAGGGAGAGAGAGAGAGAGAGAGAGAGAGAGGAGAGAGAGAGAGAGAGAGAGAGAGAGAGAGAGAGAGAGAGAGAGAGAGAAAGGGAGAGAGAGAGAGAGGGAGAGAGAGAGAGAGGGGGGGGGGACCAGAAGCTGGTCACGCAGAGTAAACAGCATGCAGAAATGGAATCTGGAGATACCAGTCCATTTCAAAACTATAGACGCGTACCTAGGCAAAAACCGTTATGCCAGCATCTATACCACATAAAATCTGTGATCACTTTGTGCATAAATTTTTCCAAATTGGGCGTCTGTTATCCAATCCTTTAGAAACTATATGAGAGTAATTGTGGAGCGATCCTGAGCAATATTCCGAAAACTATTCTCAAAAAGTTCCAGCCAAATTTGAAATATTTCAAAAACCCTACGCGTCTATAGTTTTGAAATGCACTGTAGGCAGTTGGCAACATTCACCAGCAAATATCCAAACACTCACTTCATGCCCACACACAGATGGAGCACACATATCTCCTTCATCGCATTCAGCAAGTCACCAGCCATCTAGAACAAACAAGGAGACAACATTCATCTACTCAGCCGGCTGTACACGGGAAAGAAGTGACTGCTTGTTTCATATATACCTCCAGCAACACCCTTGCAGCTCTCTACACTCGGCAGCAAGTTTGAAAACCTGCAATGAGCAGCAGCACGTTTGAACACCTGCGATGAGCAGCAGCAAGTTTGAAAACTTGCGATGAGCAGCAGCATCAAGTTCGAACACTTGCGATGAGCAGCAGCATGTTGAAAACCTGCAATAACCAGCAGCAAGTTGAAAACCTGCAATAAGCAGCAGCTGCTCATGCAATCCAGTCACTCCGCAGTGCAGCGCCTGCCACAGCAGTGGTGGCGGCCCTCACATGAGATGGCCAGAAAGTTACAGAATGGCATACTGCAGTTCGTCACTGAACTGGACCAGCCTGATAGACCAACCTAGTTCCTGACTGACTGGTACAAGTACAAAAAGCCTGCACCCCAGCTCTCAACTCTCCCCCCCCCCCCCCAAACGCACACACACGCACGCACGCAAGCACACACACGCAACGCCCATAGCTACATGTGGTAACAGCGATGCTACAGTGGACGTAGAACAAGCTTATTATTGACTTGCACCATTCAACAGCACGTGTACACACTCACACGCATTGCCCCCCCCCCCCCCCACACACACACAAACACAAGCTACGAAAGAAGCCATTGAGAAACGTAGACAGCGTTCTAACCTCCTGTTGGATGATGTTGCCGTGTAGCATAGAGTGCAAAGAGTTCTTGAAGGCATAGAGAGGAACAACAGCTTGCTGGTGGGTCTCCAACAACTCGTTATTGTCATCCCGAATGGGAAATTTAAACGGCTTGGTAGCATCCTCGAGCACTTCAAACAGCTTCAAGTCTTCAAGTAGGCCTTCGAGCAGTGGCATCTGGGCCACTTTGCTCAGCTGAATGGTCTTGGTGATTCCGCCACCGAGGGCCGACTTGGTCAGTTGGTTGGTCTGTAGCAGTGTTGCTGGGAAAATTATGTTATATTGCTGGAGAATAAGCTGCTTCTTCATCACTGCACAAAGACAACACCAATTCAATGTTGGAAAAATTGGAAAAGAAAGAAAGAAAGAAAAAAAGGAAAATGAGCGCGAAGAATTTTATTTGTTTATTTGAGGGCGATGGAGAGTGCGCTAATTCCAGAGAAAGCAGCATCCAGGATTCGGCTCTTCCCTAGCTGGAAGCTTGCCATTCATGGCTGATCTTCACAGTCAACTGTGGTGGGTGCTTCTGGCGCTTCCTTTCCTTGCCCGCATATATCCCCAATCAAATCTAAGCATATTTGCGGATAGCAATAAATAAAATGACACCCGCGTTCATCACAAAACAAAGCAGCAGTAGTACTTTGAAGTAAAACATGTTTTCGACTTCGACAGCATGTTACAAGGCGAGGACGCACAAGTGCTCCTGACTACAACCATAACCCGGTCGGCAGAGTCCCGGTCGTGCAACCATTTGAACCGTATGGGGAAAACCCCGGCTCGGACCCTCTATATTCTAGGGGGCAGTGGTTGACTTTGGAATTTTGTGTGCGGCCTCGCCTTGTAACATGCTGTCGAAGTCGAAAACATATCAAATCTATCAAGCAAGGCTTCTATATATACCATACTTAGAAGTAGTAGCACGGTTGCTACTTTGTGACGTGAGTGCGGGTATCATTTTATTTAATTATAGCTAACTTACGGCTATTATCTCAAAGGCGTCTTTTCACATACCCGGTATTTGGGGATCTTTGCGGATAGTAGCATGGCATGGTGTGTGAATGAAAGGACTGAAGACATGTACTAGTACATTGCAGGAAATGTGTGCCCCCCCCCCCCTTCCCCCTTCCCTTGATCATGATCCTGGCTAGGGGTCGATGGGCAAGCTTACCTTTCCAGGCGCGGGTAAACAGTCCCGGTGT